GCTGGAGCCCGCCGCCGCCGCCGCCTACCGGGCCTTTGCCTACGAGCGCCAGGCCAGCTCCAGCTCCGGCCGGGCAGGGGGCCTGGACTGGCCCGAGGCTGTAGAGGGGCCGCCGCCCGGCCGGACGATCCGCGCGCCCGCCATGCGGACCCTGCAGCGGTTCCAGAGCAGCCACCGCAGCCGCGTCGGGGCTGGGGCTGTGCCGGGGCCCCTCCTGGAGCCTGTGGCCCGGGCGCCCTCCGTGCGCAGCCTCAGCCTCAGCCTGGGCGATGCCGGCCACCTGCCGGACGTGCGGGGGCTGGACAGCTACAGCGGTCAGCGCGCTCTGCAGAGGCTCAGCAGCGGGTGAGCCTGGCCCGGCGTGGGGAGGGGCTGTGCCGTGGCCCCAGTCACCCCAGGGTTGGCCTGACTCTTGGCCCCGTCTCTGCAGCTTCAACGACATCGACTTGCCCTCGGCAGTCAAGTACCTCATGGCCTCGGACCCGAACCTGCAGGTGCTGGGAGCGGCCTACATCCAGCACAAGTGCTACAGCGACGCAGCGGCCAAGAAGCAGGTGCCCGCCCTGTGACCCCCTGCTGGCCCCCAGCTCTCCCTGACCTCTGCCCCCGACCACCCGCCCTTGCCCCCAGCTGACGGGGGAGGCTTCACGCTGACCAGAGCCTCCTCCGCAGAGGAGGAGCTGGAGGGAGCAATGTGCACACACCTGCACACTACTGTGCACACCTCTACACACACCTTCCCGCCCGTGCACACACGTGCACACACCTGCTCACGTCTGTATATGCCTCCCCCCCGCTGCACACGTCTGCATGCGCCGTGGGCACACGCGTGCTGACGCGGCGCGTGTGTGCCTGCAGGCCCGCAGCCTCCAGGCTGTGCCCCGGCTGGTGAAGCTCTTCAACCACGCCAACCAGGAGGTGCAGCGCCACGCCACGGGCGCCATGCGCAACCTCATCTACGACAACGCGGAGAACAAGCTGGCCCTGGTGGAGGAGAACGGCATCTTCGAGCTGCTGCGGACGCTGCGCGAGCAGGACGATGAACTGCGCAAGAACGTCACAGGTGACCCCGCCGCCCGCCCCGCCGGCCGGCCCTTTCCCCGTGCCCGTCCCCGTGCCCGCCCGCCCGCTCCCGCCCCTTCCTTTGGCTTGGCGACTACCCCTGGGGCAGCGTACGCAGGGCTGTGGCCCCAGGGTCTGCTGCAGCCCCGTGACCCCGCGCGCGGGGCTCACACGCCAGGCGGGAAGCTCAAACACGAGCCCCACCGCCCGAGGGAGAGCCAGAGGGACCGCTGAGCTGCCCCTGACCGCGGCTTCGGTCCCACCGCCCCAGGGATCCTGTGGAACTTGTCCTCCAGCGACCACCTGAAGGACCGCCTGGCCCGAGACACGCTGGAGCAGCTCACAGACCTGGTGCTGAGCCCCCTCTCGGGCGCGGGGGGCCCGCCCCTCATCCAGCAGAACGCCTCTGAGTCCGAGATCTTCTACAACGCCACGGGCTTCCTCAGGTGCGCCGGCGGGCAGCCCAGGCGGGGGCCGCTGGCCGGGAAAGGCCGAGGCACGGCCATGGGGAGCGAGCTGGGCCTGGGAGGCCTGATGACAAAGCGGAGGCAGCCGGGGGGCTGGACGGAGACGGAGCAGGCAAGGCTGGGAGCTCACGCAGGGGTGAAGCGGGCCGCCCGGCGCGAGGCCGGCGGGCTCAGGTCTCGTTAACTCAGGGGCTTGGTCTGACGTTCATCGCTGCCTCTGGACGCTTCGCGGCGTGGGCGGGGTGGTCGTGCGGGGGACCTGGCCGGCAGGGGGGGGCCTGGTGGGGGACCGGGGGAGGTGCGCTGAGGACCCTCAGCCTTGGGTTCGGGTCCCCCTGGGGCGGGCTCTCCCTGGGGTCCCCGTGGGGGACTCTGACCGGCCTCCGTCCGCAGGAACCTCAGCTCAGCCTCCCAGGCCACCCGCCAGAAGATGCGTGAGTGCCACGGGCTGGTGGACGCCCTGGTCACCTACATCGACCACGCCCTGGACGTGGGCAAGTGCGAGGACAAGGTGAGGGGCCGCCAGTGCCGGGGGGGCGGGGGGACGCCAGCCTGGCCTGACCGCAGTCCGCCCGCCGCAGAGCGTGGAGAACGCCGTGTGCGTGCTGAGGAACCTGTCCTACCGCCTGTACGACGAGATGCCACCGTCGGCCTTGCAGCGCCTGGAGGGCCGGGGCCGCAGGGACGTGGCCGGCGCGCCGCCCGGCGAGGTGGTGGGCTGCTTCACGCCACAGAGCCGGCGGCTGCGAGAGGTGGGCTCGGGCCTGGGCGGGCGGGGGCAGGGCGCCCGGCCCCACCCCGGCTGACCCTCGTGCCTCCCTGCCCAGCTGCCCCTCACCGCGGACGCGCTGACCTTCGCCGAGGTGTCTAAGGACCCCAAGGGCCTCGAGTGGCTGTGGAGCCCCCAGATCGTGGGCCTGTACAACCGCCTCCTGCAGCGCTGCGAGCTCAACCGGCACACGACGGAGGCGGCCGCCGGCGCCCTGCAGAACATCACCGCCGGCGACCGCAGGGTGAGGGGCCGCAGAGCCCTACAGGGGCCATGTGGGGTGCGGGGGCGGGGGAGGGACGAGAGCTGCTGTCCAGGAGTTTGCAGTCTGTTGGGAGAGGGACGGCGGGACCGTGGGTGGGCCCGGACCCCAGAGAGACAGGGGAGGAGGCGGGGGGGGGGGGCGACGGCCTCAGAGCCGAGCAGGAGGGACGAGACAGGGGACGTCTGTGGGGCAGCAGGGCTACGAGGTCGGCCTCCCAGGCTGGACAGGCCTTGGGGCTGGGCGCCTCCAGGCTCCGCACGGGGCCCGGGCGGAGGTGCCAGGAGGTCGAAGCCGGCGGGGCCCAAGCGGAGCCACGCTCGGTGAGGACCGGCTGGGGTGCCCGGGGACGGGAGCCAGTCCCGCCTCAGCTCCCCCGCGAGGGGACCCGAGGACGCGGAGGGGCGCGGGGTCTTCGCCTGTTCTCAGCAGCCCCTCTCCCCGTCAGTGGGCGGGCGTGCTCAGCCGCCTGGCCCTGGAGCAGGAGCGCATCTTGAACCCGCTGCTGGACCGCGTCCGCACGGCCGACCACCACCAGCTGCGCTCGCTGACCGGCCTCATCCGGAACCTGTCCCGGAACGCCAGGAACAAGGATGAGATGTGTGAGTCAGCTCCGCCCGCCCAGGGGGCTCTCCCCGGGGTCTGGTCCTTATTGCTGCCCAGCCGGGCTGCCTTCTCGCCAGCCCCCGGGGGCGGAAGTGGGGCAGACACTGACCTACTGACCTCCTGCCCCCCCGCCCCAGCCACCAAGGTGGTGAGCCACCTGATCGAGAAGCTGCCGGGCAGCGTGGGCGAGAAGTCTCCCCCGGCCGACGTGCTGGTGAACATCATTGCTGTGCTCAACCACCTGGTGGTGGCCAGCCCCGTCGCGGCCCGGGACCTGCTGTACTTCGACGGACTCCGCAAGCTGGTCTTCATCAAGAAGAAGCGCGACAGGTGAGGGCCGCCCCGCCGCCCCGCCCGCCTCGGCCCTGCCCGTGCCCCGCTGACCCCCCCTCTCCACCCTCAGCCCCGACAGTGAGAAGTCCTCCCGGGCAGCCTCCAGCCTCTTGGCCAACCTGTGGCAGTACAGCAAGCTCCACCGGGACTTCCGGGCGGTACGTTCCGGCAACCGGGGGCAGGCCGGCCCGGCGGCGGGGCCTCGGGGCAGCGCATGCTGGGGCTCACACACCGGGGTGGCGCCGGAGACCCCGGGAGAGGGGTGCACACCAGCAGCCCGGGGGGCGGGGCGGGTTGCAGGGTGGCCGGCACCCTCTCATTCGCCGTCCCCCCCCAACTGCAGAAGGGCTACCGAAAGGAGGACTTCCTGGGCCCCTAGGCGAGGCCTTCCCTGGGAGGACAACGCGACTCGGCCCAGCCTCCGCGGGACGGGCTCGGCTCCATGCCGCTTGCCGGCCGGCCTGGAGAACAAGGCTGAAGGCCCAGGGGCCACTCGCTGCTGCCCCGCATGCGCCTTGGAAAGGCCTGGGCCGCCAGGGAGAAGACAGGGGAGGGGGCGGGGGGCACGCAGCTGGGGACTGGGCTTCCGCAGGGCAGGGAGTGGGGCAGGGCTTGAAGCTGCTCTGGTGTGTGGGGCGGTGACCGGTTAGGGCAGAGGTGGGGCTGCCTGTGGCCGGCAGTGCCTCAGGACAGCCAGCGCCGGGAATAAACACGGTGGTTGTGAAGACAGCAACCACAGTCCTGCGTGTTTCTTAGGTTGGTCCGACCCCTGGGTGCCCGTGTCCCCAAGCACAGCCATGCCGTCCCCTGGGCTCAGACACAGGCCTCTCGGGTTGGGGGTGGGGGGAGGGTTCAGCGAGGAGAGCTGGCCGGGAGCAGCGTGGGCAGGGCACCAGGCAGCGGCCACCGGAGGCGCGGACACAGCAGAGCTGGGGACTTCAGGCTCAGAGCGGTGGCCACTCCCCACTTCAGGGTCCTGCTCCCGGGGCAGAGGCCCCCTCCCCCTCTTTGCCCTGCACCCCCGTGCCTGGAGGCGCCCGCCCAGGGTATCGCAGGCTGTGCGCCTGAGGCTTGGGATCCGGCAGGTTCTGGGGCCCCGCCCCCCTCACTGAGCCGGCCTTCGGCTGTGAAGCTCCCACTGATGTTTTCACAACAAAGGGCCCCTTTAGCGAAGCTCAGAACCTGGAGTCCCCAAAGGGGGCTGCATCCGTCTAGATCAGAGGGGCTGGGGGCGGCTGCGCTGCTCCTCACAGAGGGACCAGTGGAGGCTGCGCAAGACACCGCCTGAGCTGCCGCAGCGCGGAGGCGGGGCGGGGGGCGGGGGTTGGAGTGGACTTCGAGGTTTGCTGGCGGTGACGGTGCCGGAGTAGCCGTGGGAATGAGAAAAGGCCGGGGGCCCTGGGCCTGCAGAGCCCGCGAGGAAGCGCGAGGAGCCAGCCCGGGACACGGGGTGCCCACTCCCTGCCCCAGGAGAGGACATGAGGAGGCCCAGGCAGGGTCCAAAAAGACTTTATTTCTCTGGCCCCAGGACAGGCCCTGGGGGTCCGGGGCCACAGGCAGGCAGGGCGCACGTCATCCTGCGGCTCCGCCGGAGGCTGGGGCCGGCTACATGTCCTCCTCGGACACCAGGCAGTAGAAGTCCGTGCGGGCGCTGTAGTTGCGAGAGCCGAGGTCCGAGACATCCACCTCGCTGCCCCGGGCCTCTCCCGGCGGCACCCCACTGGCCTGCGGTGGAGCTGGCGGCTCCCCAAAGACAGGCCCTCGGACACCTGGAGAGGGACACCACCAGCCCTGAGGCTGCGCTCGCCGCTGCTCACCCTCCTGGGCGGTGACGCAGCCCCGGGCAGGCCTTAGACCCAGCGCCTCTGGGGAAGACGCCAGGAGGCGAGGGGTTCCGCGGGGAGAGCGCCACGCCCTCCAGAAAACAGGAGTCCCCGCCACCTGAGCCCCTCTCTGCGCTCCTCGGGGCTGTCCGGCCCCGCTTCCGCCCCCAGGCAGTTTCTCCCGGTCGGGGCGCGACTGCGTGCGCATACCCAGGTCCCCTTCGGGGTCGGGGTCCAGCTCTGGGTCCAGGGTCCGACCCTGCGAAGCATGGCCTCGCACAATCAGCATGGGGTCCTTGTCATCCTGCAGCCGGGTCTGGGGGTCTCCCTCCCTTGTTCTGTACTGCACCTTCCGCGGCAGCGCCAACTGCAGCTCTTTCCAAAAATCAGAGGAAGGCGTCTGGGGGCCAAGGTGGGGCCCCGAGCGCGGGTGAACACACGGGGGAGGCGCACGCTGAAAGCCCCGCCCCAACCACCGCCAGGCAGCGCACCCATCGGCGCCTGGGACCTCAAAGGCCACAGCTCCGGCAGCGCGCCCCGGGACCCCACCCGCCCCGGGCCGCACCGCCCCCGCCCCCGCACCACGGAGCCGGGCCTCCAGCGCAGCAGGGTCACCAGGTGGCGGTGCTGGCGCAGCAGGAGCAGCGCAGGGTGCACGGGGTCGCGCCGCTGGCCCTCGAAGGTGATGAAGATGGGTCTGCGCGTGAGCTCCAGCAGCCGGCACAGGCCCTCCCTGCGGGGGCGGGACAGTCAGCAGGTCGCCGCTGGGCCCCTCCCCCAGCCGGCAGCGCGACACCCACCGGAAACTGTGGCTGCACCAGGCCCGCCCCAGGAAGGCGTCCGACAGCACCACGACGAGGCGCCGGCAGCGGCTCAGGTTCACCAGGAGGTCGGCGGAGGGCTCTGCGAGGAGCGGTAGGCGGGGACCCAGGGGGTCAGGGTCCAAGGCGAGAGGGCGGGGCCCACGGAGGGGCTTAGGGGGCAGGGCTGTGGCGATGGGGCGGGGCTCAGGGGAGAGCGTGAGAGGCGGGGCGCGGGGCGGGGCCCGGCACTGGGGGCGGGGCCCGGCGCTGGGGGCGGGGCCCGGCACGGCACGCACCACCCGCTGCCCGCCCGCAGTACCTGCCCGAGGCAGGAGGTCGCGGTCGTCCAGGAAGAGCTTGTAGCCCCGACGCCGCTCCAGCTGCGGCTTCAGGATGAAGTTCACGAACTTACGATCTTCGGGGCTGTCGCTGTAGGAGACGTAGGCGTCGTAGAGCTTCCCATCTGCAGACGGCGGCGGATCAGCGCGGCCTTTTGCAGGCCGGGCCGCCACTCCCAGGTGCCGCCCCCGAGGGTCGCCTCACCCTTCCCCCCCCTCCCCCGCACACACGCACAGGGCCCAGGCCCGCACCCCAGACTCAGACCCCGCCCACGCCCCCTCCCCAATACAGGATTCGGAGGGGGTCCTCGAACCAGGAGACCGGCCACTGGGCCCCTCCTGCAGACGGGGGCCCTGTGCCCCGCTCCTAGTGTGCTCCCCGGAGCCCCGCAGCGCCGATGCGTCCTTATCCCCCACCTCCAGGGGCCCCCCACTTGCCCGGGGCACTCCCCGCCCAGAGGGAGCCTAGGGAGGCCATGCGGCTGACGCTGCCCGGCCCGGCCCACATACCGTTCATCTCCACCTCCCCGTAGTTGTCTTGGTACCAGAGCTGCACGTTGAGACGGCACCTCACGTAGAGCAGGGCCGCCAGCAGCAGGGTCAGCAGGACCAGCAGTGAGGCCAGCACCGCAGCCAGGTGGCCCGCCGGGCCTGCGGACAGAGCTGCGGCCTGAGCCACTGCAGCGCCCCCGCCGGCCCCTGCAGCCGCAGGCTCCTCAGGCCCCCAGGCCCCCCTCCCAGCTGCCCCCCGTGTCCCCTCACCAGCTCTCCAGAGAGTGAAGGAGGAGGAGCTGACGTTCCGGACGGAGCAGCTGAAGGCCCCGTAGTCCTCAGCACGGGTCAGGTTGACCCCCAGGACGCTGGACACAAGCACCTGCGACAAGTTGGCCTCCGCCCTGGGGAGGCCAGGCCCCACTCTCTCACCTGGGGCGCGAGAGCATCCGTGGACCCCCGAGCCCCACCTGCCTGGATGCACCCAGAGAGGCTGCAGAAGGGCCTTCCTGGGCCGCCCTCGGGCCATAAACTAGCGGAAGCGGCGGAACCTGGACAGGGCGGCGTGTGCCCAGGGCCAGTCACCCTAACCCGGGGGCCCTCGGGGCCCAGGCTCGGCCCTATGGCCCGGGCCTCGTTTGGCCTCAGGCCTCTGGCGGCACCATGGCCCCGGGCAGCAGGGTGAGGAGAGCATGCACACGGGCCGCCTGTCCCTCCGGGCACTGACCGACGCTCGGGCTGGGTCCAGAGTGGCGCTCGGCCCGCGTCCTGTCTAGGAAGCCGCTCCCCAGCCCATGGCCAGGTGGCTGTAGACCAGGGTGTGGGTCCGCCAGGCCACCTCCCTGGGCACGCCCGCGGGGGGGGTTCTCTTACCAGGAGTCCTCCCGAAGGTCAAAATGGCTCCCATTGCCCAGCGGCAGCCCATCTTTTAGCCACTGGATTGAGGGCAGAGGACAGTGGGGCGGAGAGACCACCCAGGCCGTGCAGTTCAGAGTGACCGCGCTGCCCGGGGCCGGCGCCAGGGCCTGGGCCCCAGAAGGGGAGAGGAAGTCGGGGGGCCTGCTGCAGGCACCTGCGGGAAGATGGCCGGCAGGTTGGCCGCACTCAGGACGCCTGGCCCCACGGCCCGCAGGCAGCCTGTGGGCAGGAGAAGCGGGCCGACCAGCGGCACGCGTGGCTCGGTGGCCGCCCCGTGTCCGCCCCGGAGCCCCATGGAGGTCAGGGCCCAGTGCCTGGCGGCTCGCCCGCCAGGACAAGAGCCCCGGCTGCCTGGTGGAAAGGGCCAGGCACTCCCGGCGCCGCCGCAGTCAGCCTGGGCACCTTCGCGGGGGCAGGGGCCGGCTTCCAGGCCCCCGCGCTGACCGCGGGCCAGCCTCCCCTCCTCCCTGAGGCCAGAACTTTCTCATCTTCAAAGTGGGCTTAGGAGCAGGAGCCAGAAGAGACAGCCCTCACCTCGGTGTCGTGGGCCCCCAGCCACCACCCTCGCCCACGCCTCCGCCCTGCCCCCGCCCCCGGCAGCACCCACCCCCACAAGCCTGGCGGAGGGCAAGCAGAGCTCAGGCCACAAGGCAGCCCGGAGCCTGCAAGGCGCAGGAGGTCGCAGGGGCGGGGGGTGGGGGGCTCCTACCCATCCCCTCGCCTGTCTACCTGCCATGGTCTGACCGGGGCCTCCTGGGGCGAGCTGGGCACGGCGCCACCCCTGGCTGAGCGGGCTCCTCCGCTGCGCAGACCGGACCCCAGGGCTAGGCAGGACGCCCTCTCTGTCCTTGTGGCGGGTCCGTCAGGGCGCCAGGATGGGTCAGAGGCTGCCGCCATCCCAGAGAGCAAGTTAAACAAGAACAGGGCGCGTTAACATGTAACTTTGGCCACAAACAGCCCCAGGCACCCGCTGCCCCTCAGGAGCCAGAGCAGCGTCGCGCGGAGCACCTCGCACAAGGCCGGGGAGGGGCCCTCCACCTGCGCCCGGGGGCCCGGGGGGGCTGGGCCCATGCCCTCTGGCCCCTCAGAAGGCCAGGAGACGGCCCCCTCACACACACGCCCCCCCCCCCCGCATTCTCTGCGCTCCACGCCCGCGGCGGCACGCACAGCCCTCCCCACACGCCTGCCCGGAGGCCCCACGCCTCCAACGCTCTGGTCCGCAGGGCAGCACACCCTGGGAACAGCCCCTGCAGGGGCCCGGCCCGGCCACAAGCCCCTGGCGCGCGCACGGCCTCCCGCTGTGCCCCTCTCCCGCGGGCACACGCGCCGCACGAGCGGCGGCCCCTGCGGCCCGGCCTGACTCCGCGGGCAGGCCTCTGCCAGGCAGGCCGCGGGAACGAGGACCCAGGCTCACGCAGGGCCGCCGGCCGCTGCGGGAGGGCACCAGTCACCTGGTTCCGGCTCTTTGCTCCAGCAGGGGGTGGAGGTCATGGAGGTCATTGACCTGTGCTGGGGCGCAAACTCTGCTCAGCTGGGCCCCCGGCCCGGCCCGAAGCCCCACGGCAGCTCTGGACCCATCACCAAACGGGGTGAGGACCTGGCTTTTGTTTGTGTGCTTTACTCAGGACTTTTCCGTGGCTTCCTGGCCTGGCAGTCACATCCTCTCCTCACCCTAAACCCCACCCAGGCGCCCACCCCCTCCAGGCAGGCGGGCAGTTGGTGGTTCCCGCAGCCCCGCCCGCCGCCGGTGCCCCGGCTCCGCCTGCGCTACCTCTTCCTGTAGGCGCCTTCCTCTGGGCCCGGCCCAGCCCACCAGGCTCTGCACTTCCTGAGGCGCGGTGGGGGGGGGAGGGGGCGGAGGGGGGCCGAGGCTGGGCCCACGCAGGGTGAGGGGCTCTGGCAAGGACCACTCTGCACACACACAAGGGGGCCAGCTGGGCAGCGTGGCCTGCTTCCTGGGGACCCCACACGGCGCCCCACCGGGGTGTGAGGGGGGCCTCCAGGTCCTCCCCCCCACCTCGCTCCCCCGCCAAAGTGAGCAGGCCCTTGTGTCTCTAGTCCCTGACCTCTGGGGCGGTGGGGGGGGGGCACCCTAAGGAAACTCCTGCCAATCACGGGGCCTCGAGCAGGGCTCCTTGGTTCCCTCCCTGTGCACCTCCCAGGTGTGGCCCCCCAACGGCGAGCAGTTACAAGTGGGCTGTGGTGTCGGCCTGGACCAGAGGCCAGGATGTGAGGCCAGTGCCTGCTTCTCCAGTGAGGCAGTGAACGGGGGCCTTGGCAGAGGCTCCCAGCTCTGAGCCCAGGTTGGGGGCACAGACAGCTTTTCCTGTGGTCACCACAGACTCCACCCCCAGGCTGACCTGGGGCCCAGCAACAGGTGGCTGGGACTGATGTCCACAGAAAGGGGGCCCTGCCCTGCCCTGCCCTCGCCCACACAGGTCGGCAGCGGGGCATCTTCCACGCATCAGTCTTCCAACGCCCTGCATCGGGCCCAGCTCTGCCAACCGGGCCGAGCCCCCACCCCGGAACTCGGGTGAGGAGGGTGCCACAGAGCCGAGCCTGCGCCTGCTGGAGGTCCAAGCTGGCTCCAGCCTCTCCCCCAGCTGCCCAGCGGCCGGGAGGCTGAGCAGACAGCCGAGCCCCTGAGCAGTTGCCGCCTCTAGTCAGCGACCTGTCCAGGAGCAGGAGCCCAGGCAGGAAGCGGAGGGGAGCGCTCCGCGTCCCCCACCAGCCTCGCTGTCTCACAAAGCGCCTGCCAGAACGTCCCCACCTGTGCGCCCATCTGTGCCACCGGCTCCCAGCCGCGCCTGGACGCCCCCTCCTCTCCTAAAATCCACCCTCACCTCCCAGGGAGCAAAAAAACAACCCACACGGCCTCAGGCTCTGTCTCCAACAGCGTTTCCGAATGCAAGCCCGCCCCCCGCACCTCCCAGCACCTTCGGCCCCACACCCGCGGTTCTAGGAAAGCCCGGGCTCCTCCACCCTCCAGCCCGCACGGTGGGGCTGCTGCCCCAGCTTCGGGGACGGCCCGGCCCGCGCCCCGCCGCCGGTTCTGCCGCTCAGCAGCCCCCTCGGCTTCCCGGCGGATCCCTCTCCTCCAGGACGCGCAGCGCCTCAGCGCCCCGCGCAGGCTGCGCCCCCGCGCGTCTCCCGAAGGAAGGAACGGGCACAGGAAGCTGCAGCCTCGCAGGCCTAGGGCAGCTCCGTCCTGCTCTCCCGGCCACGACGCCCCGTTCCCCCGCCACACTCCCCGCGACCCGCCTTAGCTGCGGCCGCCGGGACTCGGGCGGCCGGGGGCGCGCGCGCAGAGGGCGGGGGCGCGCAGGCGGCGGCTGGGAGCGCGCAGATGGCGGCCGCTCCGCCCGGCCACTGGCGCGCCGCGGCCCCGGCACATTTCTCAGGCCGGGCCCCAGCCCTAGGAGGGCCCTGGTCTCGGACACAGCGTGGGGCGTCGGTGGGTGTCCCCGCGCGTCGCGTGCTCCCCATCCCCCTCCTGCGCCGAGGTCACGAGGAAGCCGCCGCCGGCGTCTGGAGCAGCGGGGAGGCCCGGGAGGCCGGTAAGCGGACATGCTCGGGCTTCCGGGCGACGCGGGCTGCCAGGCCGGCTCCGAACCACTTCCTGCGGGACGGCGCCCGCGCAGAGGCTCCTCGGGGTAAGGGGCTCCCGGCCCCCCAAGCACCAGGCCTGGTCCTGACTCCTGGGACTCGGCGACCTCCACTCACCCCCGAGGCTCTGAACCGTGACTGCCCCTCATCTGCTGCCAGTTCCCCGGGGCGCGCGGGAGACTGTAGGGGCGGGGCGGCTCACCTGGGGCAGGTGCGCAGCGGCGACAGCCCCAGCGGCGGCAACAGGTGCGGCCCCGCCCAACAGCCAGGGCCGAGGGCGGACCCAAGTGTCCCGCTTTGCGCCCAAGGCTGGCGCTCAGGACTGTCAGGCGGCTGAGCTCCTGAGAGTCAGAGGCAAAACCACCTGCTCGACCACAGAGCTTGGAGCCCACGAGGGGCTCCTTGGAGATTCCACCAGCCCCCAGGGTGCCTCCGGTGGTTCTGCTCCTCCCCAGCTCTTCTCCTTCCTCCAGGAAGCCTGCCTTGACTGCAGCCCCAAAGCCCCAGGCGCAGAGGCGGTGGGGCCTCAGGTCCCCTCATGTGGGAGTCCATGGAAGCCCATGTTCAGACCCTTCCCTGCTTGGGCCTCAGTTTCCCATCTAGCCCTGAGAGCGGACACAAGCCACCAGAGGCCCCAAAGTCAACACAAAGAGGCTTTATTTTATTATCAAAAGTTCTGCTGGCTCGGGGCAGAGAGGTGGGGTTAGGGCCCTCTGACCAGCCAGGATGGAGCCTGGAAGTCCGAGGGAGGCCCCGGAAAGGCTGGTTCTCCTGTGTTGTGATGTGACTGCATAAGAAGTGACCCCCCCAGTTGTATGGGGGGCAGTGGTCCCCAAGTTCAAGTCAGGGTTCGGCCATGCCTGAGCTCCCGCAGATGGAACAGTAAGTGTGCTGCTCGCTGGGACCCCCGACATACAGAGGGCCCCCCATACACCGGCCTCCCGGGCCCCCCACATACACCTGCACGTACACGAGCCTTCTCCCAGCACCCCGCCCCCACACACACACAGCCCTGGGCGGGGTGGGGGGCGATGGGTGGCTCCGAGTCTCCTGGTGCCCTGAGCAACAGCTCAGGGTCCCTTACACATCGGTGCTCCTGGTGCTGGTGCTGGAGGCGGGAGGGGCATGGGGGAAGGGCCAGGGGCCCAGGCTGGGCTCCCTCAGCGGCCTCAGGCCCCCTCGCAGCATCCTGTCCTGAAGCATCTTGTACTTGACCCGCAGAACGTTGTTCTTCACCGATTGAGGGACGTCAGGCACGAACCAGGCAGCCACGAGCTTGATGCACAAGGCCACGTGCTGGGGGCAAGATGGAGGCTGAGCGGGGAGGCCGAGCAGCCGCGCTGGGGCCCAGGGCGGAGGCCCCCCCGGTTCTGCCCCACCTCAAAGAGGATGAGGAAGGCCAGGCGGATGGCCAGGAGGAACCAGAACTGCTCCGATAGGTTGTAGTCCTGAGCGTTGCGGTAGTCCCGGTACCTGGGGTGGGGGAGGACCGAAGGTCAGAGGTCAGGAGTTCAGAGGGCGCGCATGGTGTTGGGGAGGGGGCCGAACCTGCATTCAGTGATGTTCTCTGAACCCTCTGCCTCGACGTGGTCTCTGAAGTCCCTGGTGTGGAACACGGACAGGCTGTGGTTGATGTAGCCGGTGAGGCAGCTGCGGGGAGGAGAGGCAGCTGCAGGCGGGGCCCCTCCAGGCCTTTGGGGTGCTCCCCTGGAGCTGATTCCTGCTTTGTGGGGCCATCGGTCGGTGGGGCACAGCGCAGACCCCTTCTCCACCCTCGGGGATGCCACCAGCCACCTCCACTGCCAGGGCTGAGGGGAGCCGTGGGGTGGGACCCCCTGGGTGGCCGGGGGGCTGCACAGGGACACTGCCCTGCCCTCTGGCGCCGGAGCAGGCCACCCCGGGGTCGCCTTGGGGGGGCAGGCGTTCAGGGCCTGCTCGGGACACAGCTGGTTTTGGCCCCACCCCGCAGCCGGGCCCCGGCCAGCATCCTGGCTCCAGCCCGGGGTCTGCAGGTCAGAACGGGAGTTGTTGTCGGCAGCCCGGAGCCCTCCCCGGGCTCCAGGTCTCCCGGGGGTCTCTGGGGAACCTGGGGCCCCCCAGGGGCCGGGCGGCAGCGCCCCTTACTCCACTGAAGGGTGGGCGCCGTGTTGGCACGGGCCATAGCGGTACTTGTACACCACTCTGGGGATGAACTCGGAGGTGAAGGCGATGACCATCCCGTTGGCGATGACCGCCAGCACGCCGATGGTCTCCAGCACGTACAGCCAGGTCCCTGGGCCACAGCGGGGGCGGGGGGGTGCTGTCTGGTTCCTGCAGCCAACACGGCTGGAGGCCCACCCCACCTCCACCCGCGCGTGCCCCAAGGCTGAGCCGGCGCGTCCCGGGCCTCGTCACAGCTCTGTGAAGGGCGCCCCATCGCCGCCGTGCAGCCGGGCCGCTGACGGGGAGAGTGGTCCAAGCCCGACAGGGCCCAGCCTCTGCTCTCCCGGCCCCATGCCCCCCGTCCATCCCCAACGCCTGCCCGTCCCGGTGCGGCCAGTCTGGGGGGCTGAGGACGCCTGCTCTGTCCCAGCCCCCACAGCTGGGTCCCCCCCCATCAGCTCCCTGTTCTTAGAGTCCAGCTTCTCGGCCTGGGCCCCCAAGGGGGCTGCAGACCCTTCAGCCAGACCCGAGGGCGGGAGGGAGGGGCCGGCCAAGTGCATGCCAGCCCCAGCCGCACCGCTTCTGGAAGGGGCCGAGCCGCCCCCCGCCCCGGCCGACCCCCGTGTTTGCCACCCGAGGAGGGCCCGGAGGGCTGCCCGTGGGGGCAGGGGGTTAGCGTGGGCCCAGAGCCCCTTGCCACGCCCGCCCCCGGGCCGGGCACCCTGTCCCGCACAGCAGTCCCACTGGACCCCTGACCGATGTCCTTGGCCTTGCGTGGCACCAGGCGCCGCTGCAGCCGGACCATCTTGACGGCGTCCAGGCGGATCTCTATGACGTTGCTGAAGAACGCGAGCAGCGGGGCGAGCGGGAAGGCGGCCACGAAGATGGTGGTGAAGCCGTACTGGATCACTGTTGGGGGGGGCGGGCGTCCTCCTGAGCACCGGCCCAGGGCGCGCCCCCGCGTCCGCCCCGCCCCGCCCCGCCCCCGCAGCCCCACGTACTCATCTCCATGAACTCGTCGAACAGGCTGAAGGTGTCCACCGGGTTCAGGCGGTAGTTGCGCTGCCAGTCTTTGAGCTCGGGGTCGTGGGACAGGCGGCCCCGCATCGAGCGGTACTTGAGAGCCAGCCACCTGGGGGTGACAAGAACCAGGTAGGGGACAGGGACCCGTGCCGGGAGAAGGGTTCCTGGGGCGGCTGGCTCTGGGGAACGAGGAGGGGGGACCCTGGGAAGGGGGTGCTCACGGGCCCAGGTACTCCGCGCAGTTGCTGAGCGTCTGCTTCAGCCCCATGATGATGGCCATTTGCACGAACAGGTCCATCATGCAGCCGCTGAGGTGGCACTGCGGGCGGGCGGGGCAGGAGGTCAGTCGGCCGGGAGGGGCCGCTCGGGGACAGCCCCAGGGCAGGGTGGCAGGGCGCCCAGGGCAGACTGACCTCCTCCAGCTTCCACAAGCCCGCCAGGCGCACAGACTTCCCGGGGTGGCCGTTGATCCTAGGAGAGCAGTGAGGCTGAGGCCGGCAGCTTGCCGCTCGCCCAGTGCGGGTGCGGCGGGAGGACCGAGGGGACGTGGGGACGGGGCGGAGGAAGAAAGGGAGCCGCCCTGCCGGTGAGCCGAGACCCGCCCCTGCACGGGCCCCACGCACGCAAGCACGCACGCGGGCAGGAGCAAGCTCGGGGCCTGTGCTCCAGACGCGACCCGTGAGGAGGGGCCTCGGCACCTCCCGTGGAACCTGCAATGGGGTTACTTTGTGTCCAAACCGCCCGCTTTCCGTAACGTGATAGAAAGTGCACACATTTCACGCCGCGGGTCAAGCTGTGGAGACACCCCCCACCGCGGCTCGGGGCGACTCTTGTTGAGCGCAGTTCTGGAATAGTGTGAAGTTACAAAGAAAAACAATTGTTCTTTTAGGAACTGTGGTCATGTACCTGGAAAACCAAAATTACCCAACGGACAGGCGCACCGAGGGCACCAAGCCAGAGGCACGCTCCCGGGCCACGCCGGGCCGGTGACGCCCGTGGCGGGCGCAGCGGGAGGCGTCTGTCCCGACACCAGCAAAGGCGCAGAGCGCCACGCATCTGTGGGCCCCACGGGACGGAGGCAGCAAAACCACACAAGGGCGTCAACAGAGACTCGATCCGAGACCCTGGGCTCTGCTTTGTGGGACACAGGAGGACCCGCTCCTCAGACGTGCAGGTTCTCGTCCCTGGAGCCGGTGGCTGTCCCCTCACTCGGGAGGTGGCATTACGGTGGCCGTCGGCTGATCTTAAAAGGGGGCAGTTATCGGGGCGCGCCCAAAGCCACTGGCGTTCCGCGGCCTCTGGAAGCTGAAGGCCGCCGCGGAGGCGCCCGCTGGGGCTCCCCGCAGAACCGGCCCTGCAGCGCCTCCAGCTGAGCCGCGTGCGCCCACCTCGGGCGCCTGGCCCGCAGGACCGCACGTGCATAGACTCCTGCCGCCAAGAGCCACTACACAGGGGTCATTTGTTAGGACAGCAGAGCAAACAAGTCCGTGTTGGTTCCCCCTAAAATAGCGTAGGACCTTCCTGCAGTCTGAAGCTGAATCCCACGGAACGTTGACACCATGTGCCAGAACGATTCTAAAGGGCCCCTAGAATAAAAGCCATGTACATAAATAACCGTCAAAAAGGAAAAGCGAGACAGAAGAGTGAGGAACACGGGCCCGTCTGGCAGGAAAGCACAAAACATACAAAATAAAGTCAAGGGCGATTTTAAAAAAGCAGAACACAGTAACCGACAGCGTGGTCCTGGGCGTTGGAACCACGAGGCCGGCTTCCCTGCTCTGCCCCGCCAGCCACTCCTCGTGCCTCGACGACGTGAATGTTTAAAACGCTGACACCATACACATCTCAAGGAAACCACAGCTGCATGTGTTTAAGCTGCGGGGGTGGGGGCACTTTTTGAGCACAGCCTGAGCAAAGGACACCATAAAGAACCACGCAGACACACCTCACGACATGAAAGAAGCGTTGCCTTTGGAATAACACGGGCAGCAGGAGACGCGTCCGCCCCCCCCCCCTTCCCGGAGACCCCATACGCAAGGGGCGGAGCAGGGGAAGAACCCAGCGGTCCACCCACCGACTGTGTGACGCAGAGATAGCCTCTTAGCCCCTCTGGAACTCAGTCATCTCCTCGGGAAAAGGAGGATAAGACGCCCCCCGCCCCCCCCCCGCAACAGCTGTTGTGCAGATGGGCGTCGAATGCAAATGGGTGACGCGTGAGTGCCTGACATTTCCTGAAAAGACCACCCCGTCTGCCAGGAAAAGCTGGTCAGCCCTTCGGCCATTCCCGTGAAGGGGCAGCCGCGCCCCTGCAGCCACAGGAGGACCCGCCGTGCAGAAGGCGGCGGCCCCGAGGGAGCCGGTCCCTTGGAACAGCAGGGACCTTAAACGAGGGAAACCAACTGACATCCTCAGGGACACGCCGCATCTATACAACCAAGAACAGGAGGCTACAAAGAAAACGGGAAAAAAGAGGACTCTTAGCAATGAAGATTAATTGTTGAAACAAATAGAAAGGCAAAAAGACAAAGGGAAGGAAATGTCAGCTGTAACTGAAAAAGAAAAAGAAAGCGAAGGAACTCTCTCCAGGTGTTGGCTCTAAGGAGGGAGGGGAAGGGGGAGAGAAAAGGTAAGAAACCCAAGAGGGGCGAGAGAGAGCTCTGCACAGGCCGAGCAGAGGCGGGAGAACTTTCCAGCCTAAGGGAAAGATTAAAAATAAAACGTGGCCTCAGCCAGACGGGACGGGGTCAGGGTTAGGGAGGACCCAGCAACTGACCGGCACGAAGAAAAGAGCAGCCCTGACCCGTTCCCCAGCGAAGAGCAGACCCTAAGCTTCCCGGAGGAAAAGACCTCAGTCAGCTAGGAAGGAACAAAGTCAGATTCTCTGCGCACGCCGCAGCATCCACACGGCACGTTTGAGGACGATGGAGCCAGGCCTCTGGACGTCTGGGAAGGAAAATCCCACTGAGGCAGGTTCCCGCCCCCGGTCACGTCGCACGTGTGCGAGAGTGCGTGTCAGTGGCAACGCTGCCCTGCCTGGGCGCCCGGAGCGCCCCAGGACTTGGGCTCCTCCTGCAGGCTGGGGGCCGCCAGGCTTCCTTTCTGATTCCCCTCGGGAGGAGACTCACTTCTAGGGGATGGACAACCCCTCACTCATCGTCGGGTGGGTACTGAGCCCCAACCTTGTTCCTTCCCCAGCTGAGCTCTGGGCACATGGACAAGTGTCCTGCCTCCTCCAGGCAGGTCACCAGGCATTCCCCTCCAGGGATCAACAAGACACATGGCCACAAGCAAAGCCACAGGCACAAGCCTTCCTCAGTTACAGACAGGTGGCCAAGCATCGAGGATATTAAGGAAAGTCCCAAGCAAAACCAGAGACCCATCACAGAAAGAGCATAGAAGGGCCCTGGCCGGTGCGGCTCAGTGGATCGAGTGCCAGCCTGCCAATCAAGCGGTCACCAGTTCAGCTCCCAGCCAGGCAGGTGCCTGGGTTGAGGCCAGGTCCCCAGCAGGGGGCGCTGGAGAGGCACCCACACAGGGATGTTTCCCTCCCTTTCTCCCTCCGTTCCCCTCTCTAAATATAAATAAACCTTTAAAAAAAATTTTTGAAAGTAGGAAAGAGACTCAGAAGGGACAGAACCAGTGGCAGAGTAGCAGAGAAAGAGGCCCCGCCCCCGGACCGGAGCGGAGGCCGAAAGAAGCTACAGGGCTGGGAAACAGCGGCGTGAGAAACACTCCCGGGCTCGGACAGACGGGAGGGAAAGGCAAAACGGAGGTGCCCGACTCAGAAGGTCCACTTCCCAAAAAGGAGTGGCAGCACAGGAAGCGGGGGCTAACAGGCACGGGACACGCACCACCCCCTCAGGACGGCAGCCTCGGTTCTGCCCAGCAGGCCGCCCGCAAGGCAGGCGCCATCCCTGCCCGGCACCGCCTCCCTGAGGGGCGGCCGGGCCTCAAGGGGCAGAGGAGTCGGGGGCCAGGGTTCTTGCTGAGCCCGTGGCGCAGGGAGGCTGGGGATCAGCTGGCAGGCGCGGGAAGCCCGGGTGCCCGGAGCCACAGGAAGGGGTTCTCGGCGCCGAAGAGGGAGAGCCAGCAGCTGGGAGGGAGCAGTGGGGACCCCGGTGAGAAGCGGGCGAGGGAAGTCACTGTCCGAGGAAAGGAAGGTGAGGGCGTGTCCACGATGGTGGGGATAGTCCCTAGCGAGATAAAAGCCAGCACGGCGGAGGAGGGTGGATACGCAGCGGAGAGATCCAGAAGCCTGGGGACAGGAGGAGAGGTTCGGTCACAACAGCCATAGCGGGACGTGGGGCAGGGGGTGGCGGGGGGGAGCCGGAAACAAGCACCTCCGTCCCCGGGGCGGGGGCGGCCACGTAGAGACGCCCGTGAGCAGAGCCCCTCAGATTCCCACCTGCCGTTGCTAGGAGGCCACGGGAACCTGGGGTCCTCCAAGGCTGGAAGGGGCTCACAGAGCCCCGAGGGGAGGGACAGACGCCTGTCGGCGTCCCTGATGTCTTTGGACGTCAGGAGGGGCGGGGGGTTTTCAACATTCTGGGAGAGAGTTTGGGATCAGCAGTCACGTCTGTGTACCCTGTGAAGTGAATCAAACACAACCAATGGGGCAATGGTTTTCTCCAGAAAAGACAAAAACTGTGTGTTGGCCGAACCAGAAACCTCTGCACTAGTGAGGAAGGAGAGGGGGCGCGTCCACGCGGCGCCCGGAACGCCGCACGCAGCCCTGTTGGTAAAGCTCGCAGCTGGCCGGCCGTCCCACGTGGGGCCGCTGCCGCGGTGAAGCGGGCGCGGGCCCCGGGAAGAACAGGGACAGCGCCCGCGAGCCGAGGCCTCGCCCCCACGCAGGCCCAGGCGCGGCGCCCAGCACGCGCCCGGCGCCGGGAGCGATACTCGTCCACGGGACAGCACCGCTTGTGTCCGCGTGGGAGCGCGCAGGTGTGTGGAAGTCGGCTCAGACCCACAGACGGTGAGGCGGCGCCGAGGGGGAGCCCCGCAGACGCGGGGGTTGGCGGGGGGCTTCCTCCACACACGTCCACCATGGGTTTCCTCTTGTTATGAGTGTGAGGTGTTTTTAAAATTAAAAAGGGCAGGCATTCCCGTTGCTAAGGGAGGTGAGGCAGAGAGAGGCCCTCACCTGCCCAGGATGAAGGCCACGTAAACCAGCGAGGAGAAGTGCGCGAAGAACTGCAGGGTGAAGAACTTGACCGTGAACTTGCTCTCTCGCTCCGAGAAGGTCCTGGGCTTCTCTGAAAAACGTGAGGGCTGTCCCTCGCCTGTCCCTCACCCCCGGACGGACCCACGCCTGGCCGGTCCCCGTCCTGACACTCCGTGTCACCGGAACCCTCGCCCGCCTGCCAGCTGCAAGCGCGGGCCCTCTGGCGGGGGAGGCAACGGGGGCCACAGGAAGGGCCCCCCCCCACCCCCACCCCCCGCGAGTCTCCCTGGAAGCCTGAGAGGGGCTTGGGGTCCCTGCTCTCACCGAAGTCACAAAGCTTCAGGGCCGCATACTTGTTGACCTGCGGGAGGGGAGACCGGAGGGCTGGCTCTGGGCCCCGGGGAGACCCCCGCCCCGTCCCCCCGCGCCCCGCCCCGCCGACCCACCTTGGTCATGACGAGGATGGTCACATAGTGCACCAGGGCCCCGGTCACCACCACGGCCGTGGTCACCTGCTCTTCCAGGAAGGGCCAGGCCGACCTGCTGAAGATGGCAGAGGCCAGGACGCGGTAGACGACCAGGAGGTGGGCCATGCCAATCATGATGCAGATCTGCAGGGGCGGCCAGGAGCGGGGGCTCAGGGGGCGGTCCCCGGCGCTGCGGCCAGCCCGCCCCAGGCTCCCTAGGCGCACCATGACCAGCGACAGGACCAGGATGACGGTGCTCCTCAGGTAGGAGTGCCTGTGCAGCTGCAGCTTGTAGTCGGGGCAGTTCATGAGCTCCAGCGCCACTTCTTCCTGGGGGGGGCACCAGCATGCCGCGGACGCGGGGCACACGCCTCAGACACGGGGCACACGCCTCAGACACGGGACACAGCCCCCGGACATGGGACACGTGCCTCGGATGCAGCGACACACGCCTCAGAGTTGGCAGAAATGCGTTTGGCCCCCGCCAGGCCCTGGGAAGGGACAGCCCCGCCTGGGCACCTGGCCCCACTCACCTGGTCCTCGTCCCACCCGTACAGGTCCCAGTGCAGGACCACGCGCGCTCGCTGCCGCTTCCAGAACTCCAGAAACACTGTGGCTGCAGCGGGAGCGCAGAGTGGCGTCGCGTGCGTCCCCCGGGGGGCGTCCCAGCGCGCGGGGGCAGGAGGGGCCCTGGAGCTCAGGCTGGCCCCCGGGGCGCCCACAGCGACTCACCCCACAGAGCCATGAGGATGGCAAACACCACAGTGCCCTCGTTGTCAAAGAGGTGGGTGAGCTGGAGAGAGGGACACGTAGGCTGGCCATGCCCTCCGCCGTCCCTTCCCCGCCCGAGGACACCCAGCTCTGCAGGGGCGGGGTAGGCCGGCCGGCCCCCCGCAGGGCAAGCGGGCCTGGCCAGACCCTCGCGGAGGCAAACCTTAGCAAAGGTGCAGGTGTCCGAGAGGCGCTGGTACCTGCGGCTATGGTCGCCGCGCGGGCACATGAAGATGTCGTGGGCCTCACAGATCTCCTTGCTGGGAGTGCAGGGACCCGCTGGTCTGCGTGTCCCCGACGCCCCGCCCCACAGTGTCCTGACCCCCACCCGCCCCGCCCACCCCTGGCCCCGCTCCGCCTCTGCTCCCGCCGGGTCCCTCCCGCGCCCGGTCCTGACCCCTCCCCTAACCTGCTCCACCCATCCTGGCCCCGCCCTTCCTCCGCTCCCGACAGGCCCCGCCCACCCCTGACCTCGCTCCTCCTCCGCTCCTGCCGGGCCTCGCCCCTGCCCGTCCTGGCCTCGCCCCCACCCACTCCACCCATGCGGGCCCCGCCCCCGCCCGGTCCACGCTGTCCTCAGCCGCACCCCCCACGCCCCGCCCGGCCACCTGATCTGGCTGCAATTGAACAGGGAGAAGCCGCTGAGGAAGATGACGAGGCCGATCAGGGCGGCTGGCACCAGCATGTAGGTGTACCAGCCCAGCCAGGCGAAGTACAGGGCCACCTTCTCGCCGAAGTAGTCCCTGCAGGCACCGACGCCCCGTGTCAGGGCCACGCCACGGTGGGGGGCGGGCGGGGAACGGCGCGGGCCGTCCGGAGGGGCACACCGGGGGCGCAAGGAGAGGAGGGCATTGACGCTTCGGTGTGTCTAAGTGGGGCGCGCACACGCCTGCTCTGTAGGCGGAGGGCCGTCTGTCTGGGAGGGGCGCGGGTGATTGCTGGGGTCAGTGTTACCTGATATCATCAATGGGCTGCTTGCAGAACAAGTTTCTCCACCGGGCCCACTTCTTCTGCAGAGCATGCTCCTCCTGGGCACAGGTGACCGACAGCGGGAACGTCCTGCCTCCAGCCCCGCCGGCAGGGCCCACCGCGCCCCCCGCCCCTCCGGCAACCGGCCTCTTACCTTGTGCAAAGGGAACATCGCCTCGAAGACCCCGTCCTGCACCAGGCCCTGGAACGTGTCTAAGGCCACAGAGAATCTCAGGGCCGAGGGACGTGGGGCAGGGGAGGACCCCGCCACGTCCTCCCCGCAAGGCGCCCCTGGCGGCCGCCTGCCCACCCAGTCCTCACCGCCAGCCGCCGTCCTGCTGTTCAGAATGAAGCTGACGATTCGGATCCTGGAACACAGGAGCTGGTTCAGGACGGCCGGGGGCACCCCAGAGGCCCCGCCCCTGCCCGTCCAGGGAGGAAGCCCCCCGCCTGCCTGCCTCACCGCCCAACCAGAGCCCGCCCTTGGCCTCCTTAGGTCCCCCCAGGGGCGGCCCCCGCGTGGGCCCAGGCGAGGGCTCTCTCAGGAGTGGCCCCTCTCCTTCCGGGGCCGCAGAGGCCTGGCCTGACCGCCGCCCAGCCCCACTCACACCCCTGGAGTCCCAGGGGTCCAGAGCACAGCCTAGGCCTCTAGGCACAGGAACCCTGCTTTTCTCCCTTTTAAAAACGACTTTATTTATTTATTTATTTATTTGTCGACAGAGAAGAAGGGAGGAAGAATCAGGGAGAGACACAGCCGTGTGCGGGTGCCTCTCACGCGCCCCCCTCCTGGGGCCTGGCCCGGAACCCAGGCCTGCGCCCTGCCTGGGAATCGAACCGTTGACCTCTCCGTTCACAGGCCGGTGCTCCATCCACTGAGCCACACCAGCCGGGGCGTGCGTGCGTGTGCGTGCGTGTGTGTGTGTGTGTGTGTGTGTGTGTACATTAATCTTCTTTACAACCCTGGGCGCTGTTTTGCCTGTGGGGAGACAAAGGCCCAGAGAGGCTGGGCGATTTGCCCAAGGCCACACAGCCAGGAAGCGGCACGTCCGAGCATCGAACCGCAGAGCCACACCCTTCCCGCGCGCCCTCCTGTGAGATGTGGCCCCCTGGATGTCCCAGGGCACACGCCCCCCACGGCGCCGCCCAGGCCCCACCAAGCTGCCCCTGCGCCTCGTCCTCCCCTTGCTCCTCCCCGAGCCCAGCCAGGTCCCCAGGGCCCCCTCCGCTGCCTCGTGTGCGCATGCCAGGGGGCGGTCCTCTGCCAGTCTCCACGGACGGGCCCCCTAAGCTCAGCAGGGCCTGGGGTGAGCCAGGCGGGTGATGGGCAGGGCTATGGGGAAGGCAGGGGACCAGCTTGCAGAGCCGGGGGGCCAGTGGGGGCCGCAGGCGCTGGGAGGGAGAGGAGGAGCTGGGCTCCCAGGAGGCCGGAGCCGACGGCCAAGGGGGGGCCCTGGGTCTGGGTGCAGAGGGGTGGCCCCGCAGCTGGGGTCAGGGCCAGGGGGGACGCCGCTGAGGGTCTCTCTCAGAGCCTCTCCGAATCCTGCCCACACCCGAAGCCCCCCGTGGCCTTCTGAACACTCCAAGAGGCAAGGACTGGCATCACCCCTTCTCACAGGCGTGGACCCTGCGGCACAGAGCCCGGACGCCGCCCCTGGGAGCCCCTCCCACCTGGACCAGGCAGGCGCTCGGCAGGCAGGACCCTCCTGGCCCGGCTCGGGGCCAGCCCCTCACCTGGTGGTGGCTAGGACGTCCGTGTGCCCGGCTGGCTCCACTTTGGAGGCTGGACCCTCGGGCTCCATGAGGAGAGTACGGTACAGGCTGAAGACCCTGCTGTCGGCTCTGATCGCAAAGAACACCTTCTCCTGGTCCATTTTCACCTGGGTGCGGGCCGCGTGGTGCTCTGCTCTACCTCGGAGCCCTCCCGCCTCCGTCCATGGCCACTGGCCTGGCCCCTTCACCCCGAGCACAAAATCACGGGCAGCCTCTCCAGACCCCTCCCCGGGGCCCGCCCGGCGCCATGACCCCGGCCCACTGTGCCGGCCCACCTTGTAATGAAAGCCCTTTCCTTTCAGGTCCTCCAGGAACTGCCGCTGCTTGTGGACCGCCCTGGGGTTTTGCTGGGTGCAGTAATCGGCCACGAGGATGTAGTCCGGCTGGTCGGCCTGCAGGAGGGAGGTACGGGCCTGGGCCGGGGCCGGGCTGGGCATGGGCGGGTGGGAGGGGCCCAGCGCGGGAGGGTCCGAGCGGAGACTCACCTCAGAAGGGCTGCTCTCCGTCAGCAGTGAGCTGTCCGCTTTGGCCCCCGCCAGGACGTGGATGTGCTCTTCACCCTGGGGCGGGGGCAGAGGACTGTGCCCACGTCCACAGTACAGTGTCTCGTGGGCACCGAGGGGCTTCAGCCATAAAGCTGGGGGGCAGGAAAACAAGTACACGAGGCGGCGATCTGGGGGTGCTGAGTGTCAGTGAGGGGCCAGGTGCGGGGGCTGCAAGGCAGGCCCCCAGCACAGGTTTGCTTGGAAATAGAGACAAAGAGCGCCTGAGATCCGAAGGGAAAACAGCCCAAGGACACGGACCGGGATTTCACAGACAGGGAGCGCGCATGGGGAAAGACACGGGCACGCCAGGGACACGGGAGGGCCGCGAGCGCAGGCCAGGCGACCGGCGCGCCTCCGTTTGCCCGTTCGGTCACAGGCACTTTAAGGGGCCGACAGCACCAGTGTCAACAGAACCCCCGTGTGGTGCCAAAAGCGATGGTCCCCCAGCCTGGCCCGACCACGCCCGGACCCGCGGCCGGGACGTGCAGCCGCAACCAGCGCCACTCCGGGCGGCAGGAAGAACCGCACCCCACTGGCGGGTGGGGGGTGGAGGCGCTGTGCTGCCCCCACACCGGGGCCGACCACGCAACCGAAACGCGGAGGGGCTGCTGCCCCACACGGCGCCCCGGGGGCAGGCCTGACGCGGCCCCCCACCCGCAGAACCCACCCTGACGAGGGCCTGCGCGGCGTCGGCCAGACACGCGGACGCTGCCGCCAGCGGGCAGACCGCAGGAGAGAGTGGGCGCGCGGCCGGCCCGCCACCGCCCGAGTGTCCTCGCTAAGTGCCGCGGCGGGCACCGGAGGTGCCGCTCAGTCCTCCCTGTCGTGTGCGGGCTGCACGTAGTGACCAACGGCGAGACTCCCACGCCCGGGCCATCGTGGTCAGGGGCACGTGACGTCACTTAGCTGCGCGGGACCGGGCGGGATGTGATGTGACGATGTGCGGTCCCCTCCCTAAAACCTGTAGTCCCATCTGCTGTCCCAGGGGCTCCCCGCAGAGCTGAGCGGAGCCGGGAACGGGGAGGGACGGCGGGACCGCCCCAGACAGGACGGTGCCGAACGCCCCGCGGGCCCCTGCGCCGACTGGGACGGGAAAGGACCCAGCGGGAAAGCGGGTGACATCAAGGTGGCTGTAGTGGGCCCCTCCTTTGGCCAGTGCCCCAGGAGATGGGTGCGACTTTGGGGGAGGCAGGGCAAAGGGCAGAGGGCACCCCGTTCTATATTTATTACTCTTTTTTGAAAAAGATTTTATTTATTTTTACAGAGCGGGGAAGGGAGAGAGAGAAACATCCATGTGCAGTTGCCTCGCATGTGCCCCCAGCCGGGGACCTGGCCCGCAACCCAGGCCTGTGCCCTGACCGGGAACCAAACCAGCGGCCCCGTGGCTCGCAGGCCGGCGCGCAGTCCACAAGGCCACGCCAGCCGGGGCTGTGTTTATTACCCTTTCTAACGCTGACAGATGTGCTAAACCTGCAGGAGTCGGGGCCGGGAGCGCTGGGCCCTGAGGACTGAGACAAAGCGACCCAGGGCCACTCCGCTGGGCTAACCAGGTGGCTGAGGGCAGGGGGACAAGGCAGAGCAGGTCATGTAGGGGGAGCCCTGGGCCGACTGCAGGGAGAGGACCCCCGTTGGAGCTGGGAGCCAGGGGACATGCGCCCTCAGGCGAGATCAGCCCCTCCTCCCGCCTTGTCCTCGACAGTGTCTGCCCTCCGGGGCTTGCTGAGCACCCCCGCGTCCCAGCACAGCGCTGAGCACACTGTGGGCGCACGGCCACCGGCACCCCGGCCTGCGTCCCCGGGGAGCGGAGGGTACCCGAGGGACGGGACCCTGCTGCGTCCCCAGCGTAGGCGTCGGCGGGGGCCAATCGAGGGGCTGTGTCCATCGGAGAACCCGCCTCAGGCCAGCTGCCGGCAGGTCTGGGCACCTCCTGCTCCACCATGGCCCCCGGGGACCCTGGGCTCCTGCTCCCGGGGGCTGCCAGCCCCTTGTCTGGCTCACAGACCCCATACCCTGCCCCCGCCGCCCACGGCCAGCACTGTGGGGCCCTGCTGGTCCCCTGCCCGCCAGCCCGCCCCCTCTCCAGCCACATCCCCGCCAAGCTCAAGCACGCCCCTTCCAGGAAGCCTGACTGGACTGCTCCAGCCAGTCTGCCCTCCAGGACTACCAGTCACATTTGAATTTCAGATAAACAAGATCCCTTCTGGTATAAGTATGTCCCAGCTGTTACCACGGGACATAATTATACTAATGGAAATTGTTGCCCTGGCTGCCGTGGCTCCGTGGATGGAGTGGCGGCCTGCGAGCAGAAGAGTCGCTGGTCCGATTCCCGGTCAGGACGCAGGCCTGGCTGGCGGGCCAGGTCCCCGGCTCGGGGGGGGGGGAGCGGGAGGCCCTGTTCCTCTCCTTCTCTTTCTCCCTCCCCTCTCTCGAAAAACAAACAAAATCTTTGAAAACTTGCTGATGTGCTGTGTTCCGCCACAGGAGCCAGGAAACCAGGCAGCTGAGGGCAGGGAGGCACGCAACACCGGGGTCCCGCGGGGCGGCGCTGAGCCGGGCACCGCCCTGGCGCTCTGTCCCCTCCCCACAGCATCAGCCCTCTCCCCGCCTGGTCTCCCTTCCCCCTCGGCCCCGGGCACCCCCTGCCCGCCCACCAGCGGCCCACAGGCCTGGCACGCAAGGGTGGCTGGCAGGATGTGGGGCTGCTCCCCGCCCCGGGCTCTCCTGGCCCCGCGGGAAGCCTGCCTTCCCCGGACAGGGATTCAGGACGGAGCAGGGCTGCAGCACCTCTGTCTCAGGGGGCAGAGTGTGGGCTCCACCAGACAGGACGGGGACATGTGTGTCACCAGCCTCTGGTGCCTGGACTCCGGACACCCGGCTCTAGGGGCCGTCCCTAAGGGTCTTTTCAAGCCCTTCCAGCTCCACCCCTACAGGCTCACGCACCCGCTCCCGACGAGGAAACTTCCAGAGACTCTGCAGCTCCGGGAGACCCTCCCCACCCACAGCCGGGACACTAAGGGGCAGGCGAAGTTCCCTGTGTCCCTCCCTTCCAGCCTGGCTCCGGGTGGCCGGCAGGACCAGGACACGACGGTGCAGTAGCGGCCACAGCAGCAGGCTGCGTGGCGCTCACGCCGGTGACACCACCCCAGCTGCAGAGGGACATCTGTGGGCTTCCCCTCACTATTCCTGAGCGTCACGTCTCACCCCAGGCCCTCCTAGCTCAGCCTCGAAGCACGGTGCAGTGTCATCATTTGGCGAGGGGACTTTCCTGCCTCCATCGAAGTACGCGCCACCCTGGCTGGCCCAGCCCCGTGCCTCTGAGCAGCGTCCTGAGCAAACGCCCCCCAAGCTCTGCCTGCTCGACCCTCCCTCCACCCCTCCAGCTCTGCATCTGTCCGTCAACTGCCGACTCCCTCCTCTGGGTGCCGTCCACCCACCCATCCCAGACACCGCGGGATGGAGCAGCCGGCCCTGCGCGTGGTCCTGCAGGCGGTGTGCGGTGTGAGCGGGCACAGGGGTGTGGAGCGCAGGGTGGGCGGCCTGGAGCTGGGCCCCGTGGGGCAGGAGGCGAAGAAGTGGGAGCAGCTCCTGGGAGAGGCAGGGGCGTGCGGACAGGCCCTGAGGGGCAGCAGCGTGGGCTCAGTGTCCGGGTACGCGGCCCTCGGCACCTGCGAGGGCTCGGAAGTCCCTGCTCCTGGCGACCGGTCCTCGGTGCCGCTGGGGCTCAGGCGCCGCCCCCGCCCTGCCCCGGACTCGGTCCCGATCACTTCAGAGGCGTAAGGAGCAAGAAGGGAGCTGCTGGGAGGTGAGGCTGGGGGGTTGGCAGAAGCCAGACGGCGGAGCACAGCTCGGGGTGCTGGGCAACCGGGAGCAGGGGGAGAAGGGGCTCCCCCGGCGGGGGAGGCTGGCGGTCTGCATCTGCACCCACCCTCAAGGGTGGGTTCCTCGCCTCGGCCCAGCCAGGCGCTGCCTCCCCACCCACCAGGACCCGACCCCGAGCCTCTAACCCTGACCCTAACGCCACCCCAGCCAGGCCCCCCCCCCCCCGCTGACGGGCACAGAGGGGGGCGGCAGGGCCTGCCCGAGGGCCGCCAGGACGCCCCTGGAGCTGGCTCCCGACGCGCCAAGGAGGCCCCCCCACCCACGGTGGAGGTGGGGCTGAGGCTGCCTCTTGACCCACACCTGGGAGGGCCCTGGCGGCCCAGTGGGAGGCTGGTTTCGCTCTCCACCTCGCACGGGTCTCCTCCCGGCCGCCCAGGTGCTGGCCCTGCCCTGCGACCTCTTCCTGGTTCCCGGGAAGAGAGGCTGTCTTCCCAGGGGCCCTCCTGCCCACTGCCCTGGGGCCCTCGCACCCTCCCGCTCTGCTCCCCGATCAGAGCCCAGCCGCCCTCGTCGGCTCCCACTCTGCCCAGGGCAGGACGCCGGGGGCAGAGGGGCCCAGCGGGCCACCCGGGGCCTCCCACCCAAGGCCAGTCCCCCTGGAGGCCACTGCCCGGACCCGCCCCCCTGCAGGGCAAAGCCGGTCAGTCTGGGGGGTCTCTCCCTGGCTCTGGGGCGGGGCGTGCACACGCCTGCCCCTCCCGGCCCCTCACTGGGACCCTCACCGCAGAGTCGCCAGACCCGGGCTGCTCTGCTCCTCCTCCTGCCCCAGGGATGGAAAGCCCGGCCCCCGCCCGGGACTCGCGGCGCCTCCGCTCGGCGCCAGGAGCCCGCGGGTGCTTCCCAGGTGCGGCTGCAGGGGTCGCAGGCGGGGCCCGCGCGTGCCGCGCGACTCACCCTCATGTCGGCCGCCCCGCGGTGTCCCCGAGTCCAGCCGGCGAGGCCTCTCGCACCCGCGGTGCCGCAGCGTCGCCGGGCGGCACCTGACTTCCGCGTGGGGCTGCCCTGCCTCCGCCCGCCCCGTCCTGCCGCCGCCGCCGCTCCTCGGTTGGTCCCTCAACCCGCCGGTGGCAGCGGGGAGGGGCCAGGGCGCGGGGGCGCAGGGCGCGCCCCGCCCCGAGTCCCTTCGCGCTCGCCGGCGGAGAGGGCGCCCCTGTGAGGTGGGGTTACATGGACGCCCCCGCCCTCGGGGGACGCGGCGGCGGGAGTCCCCAGCGCCCCAGCTCCGTTGCGCCCCTTCCCTCTTCCGGACCCCAGGACTCACCCTTCCCGGGTCCCCGCCAGCGCCCAACCCTTCACCCTCAAATCCAGAGCTGGTTCCCTTAGAAGAAACTGGAGGGTGGGGCACGAGGTGGGTCCCCAAGACAAAGGGAGCCCCAGCTTCGCGGAGGCCACCTGGGGGGAGGGGGCGCGTTGGCGGCCTGAGGGTGTGTGGCTGCCCCCGCCCCCACAGTGTGCCGTGGTCCCGGTGGCCACTGGGCAAGGCTCTGGGCAGCCAGCGGCCCCCCGCGGGCGGGTGGGGGGCCCAGGCTCTGAGAGCTGAGGACACCTGGCGACACTGAACAGCAGGGGCAGCTGGAAGGAGCGGGGAGCACCCACGGTGTTGCAGGGGCTCCCAGGACGCCCGGGCGGCACCCGGGGCGCTGGGGTGCATCCTCACACAGCCTGCGAGCCTTGTGGGTCAGGCCCAGGGTTGACGTGTTTGCCCTGGGTGGCCCCGCGGAGGAGACGGCCCCGCCCACGTTTCTGCCGGAGGGCCGACGCCGGCTGTGGCAGCAGCCGGGGCCAGGACAGAACCGGTGCGGGGGCAAAGACCAGGGAGGGATGGGGGCCGCCGAGAGCCGGGGCCGCCCTCGTGGCACACCCACAATGCACTGTGGCTGCTGCCACCGAGACCCCCTAGAGCAGCGCCTGCAAGGCCCCCCGGGACTGCTGCTTTGCCCCCTTAAACGAGGGTGCCACCACCTGGCTCCGAAAGGCTGCCCGGGCTCCAGGCACCGCGTCCACACTTGAGGCGGCAGGGAAGGAAGGAGTGAAGGAGAGACGCTCCCCTGGCAGGAGTAGCCGCCTGGCCACACCTGGCCGCGCGGGAGCCTGGGAATGGGACCAGTTTGCCTCAGGTGGGAGGCGGATCGAGTGCAGGGAGCAGCCAGCAAGGGTTTGGAGCCTTGTCCTGAACCCCAGGTCCATGCTGCACGCCAGCTCCTGGCCCCTCCGACCCCCGCTGACCCCAGGTCACCCTGTGCGTTTGTGTTTGGTTCTGCTGAACAAGCCCCGGGGCGCCCCTGACCCCTGACTCGGTTCCAAGCGCCTGCACAGCTGGCCTCTCTCACGCCGCTGCTGCTGGTTCCCTCCTCCCCAGGGGTGAGGGGGCCTGAGGGCCAGCACCTCCCTGGCCTGGGGCGCCGGGGTGGAGGGGCGGTGCGGGGGCTGGGTGGTGACACGGGCCTGGCCCTCAGGGGAAGGGTGGGGAACGGGGCAGGTCTCCTCTGGGCCCCGTCTGGAGAGAAGAAGGACGAGCCCCCTCAGAAGGCTTCACGGAGGTGAGGAGCAGAAGCCTTGGGATGGTTGACATTTTGGTCCATTAACTCAGCTTTTCGTAAGCCGCCCTAAGGAAAAGATCCAAAATAATGAACATATGGACAAGCATGTCCTCGGAGGCACAGACCGTGAGCCGCCCAGACGACCCGCTCGGGGGAAAGATCTGTGTGATGGCCTCTGTTCTGGCTCTGAGCAGGCAGCCACTGAAAAGTGCGCTCCCAGAGGCTTCACGAGAGGACGCGATGTGCTTGCCCTACACTCCGTGAAAACCGGGCTGCCGCGTGTGCATGTCTCCGTCCCAGCTGGGTTTAAACGCACTAAGCTGCCGGGGGAGTAGATTCAGTCCTGGATACTTGTATTTGCTTCAAGTGACCGCTGGACAGGGAGTTGGTGCTTTCCTTCCTTTACTTTGCTCTTTTTTTCCCCACATCTTCTGCAGCAAGCACATCACTGTCATAAACTTTATTATTAAATTGACTTCACTATCTCGAGTGTGTCCTGTGGAGAAGCCCCAGGGCGGCGCGGGCAGCCCCACGAAGGCCGCGGGGCCCCCGCTGCCCTGGCCGCTGGCCGGCCGGATCTCCCCGTCTCGGGCAGGGAACTTTGGCCGAGGCCCACGTGGCCCTCTGGCTCTTCCCGGTGGACCCTGGACCCTGCTCCCCTTCCCTTCCTCCTCCGACTCCAGAGAGCCCTGCCCGCCTGTCGGCTTCCCCCTGAGGCACTGGGGGGCGGGGGGGGGGCAGGCTGCCCTTCCATTCCCGGTGCTCAGGCCCGTCCCCTGCGGCGGGCGGTGGCCACCTCCAGAGGAGCTCAGGGCGACCGAGCCCCGGGTAGAATGCCACAGGCAGGAGCAAGCAGCCCCTGTCCACCCAACCTGGTGGCCTGCCTGTGGCCAAAGACACTCTGGCGTTGGGGCTTCCTGAGTGGTCTCTGGGCTGGGCGTGGGCACCCCCCCCACCTCTTTGGCCGCAGGCCCCAGCAGGGGCCGCCCGTCTCCCGGCTGGACCTCTGCTCCTCAGGTCTGCAGGAAGCTGGCCCTTGCCTCTCACACCAGGGTGGCATCAGGGTGGGGACCGGCCCCTGAGGCCCTCACCGCAGCCGCCCTCCATCTCCCTGATGCTCCTTCCAGCCCTGAGTTCTCACCAGTTCCTGTTTCCTGCCTTGGGGAGCGGAGAGCTGCCCTGGCCGATCTGACAGCCCCGCCGGCCCCAAGCCTGCCTTGACCTTGAGCGCAGGCCCAGTGGCAGGTGCGCCTGGGGTGGGCGGAGCGTCTTGTGGAGCCCTCAGCTTGCACGCTGGCCGTAGCCGCAGGGCTGCCAGACCGGCATCACTGCTCTGCAGCTTTGCAGGTTTCTCCCCTGGACACGTGCAGAAAGCATTTCCGCCACTATTTCCACTGTTCATCTCCATGAACGTGCTGCAGGCCCAAGGCAACCTTGGGGTCTGAGGCCAGGTCGTGCCCACGTGAGCCGGACCCTGAGCAAGGCCGGAATCAGGCGCCTTTAACGCCCTTGCCTCGCTCTGGGGCCCTCGGGCTTCTGGTGTTCCCCCCTCTGCTGAGGAAGGCCAGGGCCTCTGCACCCTTCCCCAGGCCAGAGCTCCGAGTCCTGCGGTGTGGACAGACCCTTGCCCCGTGGGAAACTTGCGGGGGCGTCCTCCAGGCTCTCTGCCAACTCTTCTCACCCGCCACCCCACCACCTGCGCGCAAACCACCGGCCTCCCAGACGCCCGTGCCGCTCCCCCTGGCTAGTCTCCATATCCTTCAGTGGGCCCTGCCCGGCCACGTGTGTCCGAAGGGCCGGGGTGAGCAGGGCTGCAGCCAGGGTGAAGGGCAGCGGCCAGGACGGGGGCCGCGCCGCGGTGAGGCCCAGATATCAGGTTCCAAGTGCAAAGCGGCCTGTGGTTGGCCTCACCGCGGAGCGCGAGGAGGCGGGGGTTTCCAGAAGAGGCCCCAGGCTCCAAGCTCCCGGCTCCGGGGAGAGAAGACGCTGGGCGCGGGGGGGTCACCAACTTTCCCGCCTCTAAACCGGAGAGGAAATCAGGGCTTAAGGGGGTGTGAAGATATAATAGTTGGCGTATGTGAAGCCTTGGGGACTCCGCTGGCACGCGGCCAGAGCTCCAGGGCGATTAACTGACACGTGGTCAGCGCGCTGGGCAGAGGGCGCCCAGAGGTGATCCCGTGCGTCGGGCTCGCCCACCCCGCCCCTGCCCCTGCCTGGTCCCACAGGCCCCGCCCCCGTCACGCCCACAATAGATCCCGCCCCGCCCCGCCCCCGGCCCAGCAGGAATGGCAGGACCTGAGCCCCAGGCGCTCCAGACACCCCGGGGGGCCGGCACGTCGCCCTGCCTGGCCTCTGCGCCCTGGAGAGGCTGCAGTGGCCCGCTTTGTCTTGGGAGGGGGGCTCTGGGTGCAGCTTGGCAGGAAGACCCATCCATATCCAGGAGTGGATCCCGACTGCGTCAAGGCAGAGCCCGGAACCTGAGCGCCCTCAGCTGGGGTGGGGGCAGCGGGACCCTGAAGGGTGGCGCGGGCCCGTGGGTGCTCATTGGAAAGATCTGGTGGCCGGGAGCTGGCTTGCTCTGGGCTCGTCGCTCCTGGGTCACTGCCCCGGACACAGCGGGTCCCAACACGCCAGTCCGTGCAAGGCCATGCCATGGTGACTGCTGGTTCCCCCACAGCACAGCGGGTTTGTCGCCGACCTCACCATGACTCCCTGTGGAGCTCAGGATGGACACCAGAGTCCAGCCCGGACGGTGCTCTCCAGCCTCACCGCCACTCCCTCGCGTACACACTGGAGCTCGGCCACAGGGGAGCTGGTGCCAGGCCACTCAGGATCACCCTGGCAACCCCAGGAGCAAGCCGCTAGGGCCGGGGCGGGGGCCGGGGCGGGCCCAAGGGCAGGCGGAGGGCAGCCGCGGACCCTGGAAGGCCCCACAGCACAGCTCCCGGAGCCGGATTCCTGGCAGCCGGCTGGCCCCCTGCCGACTGAGAGCTCCACACAGTGGTCAGGGGCTGAGGCTCAGGGCCCCATCACAGCGAGACCCCACGCTGGGCAGGCCTTGGCGGGGGGAGTCCCCACAAACACTCATTTACACAGATAGTGTAACAGCTTTATTGATGTGTAATTCGCACACCATGCAGTCTACCCGGTTAGAGTGTACAGTGCACTAGTCTTTCGGATATTCCCAGACATGGGCCACCCTCAGCGGTCAGTTTGAGAACACCCTCCCGGCCCCGGAAAGAAGCCCAGGGCCCTTTAGCAGTCGCTCCCCGTTTCCCTTCCCTGGCCCCTGGGGCCACTCGTCGACGTCCTGCCTCCCCGGATTCGCGCGCTCTGAACATTTCATATAAACAGGTCACGCACTGTGCAGTCTTCGGGGACTGGCTTCCTGCACGTGGCATAATGTTTTCAAAGTTCGCCCTGTTGTCGCATATGTCACAACTTCCTTCTCGCGGCCAAATACTTCCCCACAGTAGGGACGGACACATATGCCGCGTGCCCACGCCTTAGCCCACGGACGTGGCCTGCTTCCTGCTTTGGGCTGTTGCGAGCGGCGCTGCTGTGAAAGTGAACAAAAGGAACCTCGCCGACATGGAGCGGGGAGGCCTGAGGGAGCAGCCCTCGCTCCTCCAGGTCGATTCCACGCCAACGGGAAGAAGCGTCCCGCACAGACCGGACGGGAAAAGACACCCTGAACTCCCAGCCAGATGTGACTCTACGGCCGAGCGCGAGGGAGGGTTTCTTCTCGCCCAACCAGCCCAGCTAACGGTAAGCGTGGCAGCGCGGCCAGGGAGCGCCCAGCGCTGCGGGGGCTCGCACTTCCTGCGACCGACTCCCACCCCGGCCCCCTGCTCCTCCTTGCAGTGACCATCCTCTGTCTGCCGCACGTGCCCAGAGATTTGCGGAGCACGCTCGTCTCGAGTTGCAATCCTCTGCTGTTCCTGAATAAAAGCCCTCTGCTGGCGAAACAACCGGCCGTTTCACCCCTAGGGTCGACCCCGCTGTGAACGTCCAGGTACCAGGCTGGCGCGCACGTCTCCATTTCCCTCGGGCGCATGCGCGCGAGGGCATTGCTGGGCGCGGGGCGCCCCGTGTTTAACCGAGTCGTCCGGCTGATTCTCAGGGTGGCCCAGGGCTACCCGCTCCTGCGGGGCTGGCCTATATCTAAAATTTGAGTCACCCCAAATCAGCAGGTCTCCACTCTTCTCACGGGCCCGTGTCACGAGAGGTCCCGCAGCCCGACGGCCCTGTAGGCAGGAGCCCGAAGCTCCTGGCGGCTTCTGGTGGCCGATGGGAAACTCCGGGGAGGCTCGGGCCGCGGGCAGGGGTGAGGGCGTGGGGACAGCTGGCTCCCTGCACGTCGCGGGGAAAACGCCCGCCGTCGGGCACCCCTAGCAAGGCCCCCGCTCCCTGTGCCGAGCGGGCGGGATGGCAGGCCTGCCGAGGCGAAGCACGCGCTGTGGCCGAGATGCCGCGAGCACGGCCCAAAAGGCAGCAGCGGGGGGCTCGTGCGGCTGGGGTGGCGCGTCTACTGGGACGGCGCTCCCGGAAAGCGCGGCCGGGGCTGGGCGCCGCGCCCGGGGAGGCGGGTCTGGGTTAGCGTCCGCGTCCGGCCGCTCTGGAGCTACAACACCGCACCCCACGTGCCGGTTCCGGTTACCTAGCAACTGGGCGGTATCCTTCCCAGCAATCACCGCTTCAGATCTGCGCGGTCGGACACTACGAGGCCCAGCATGCCTCGCGGCCCAGGAGCGCGGACTACACGTCCCACAATGCATCGCTCCCCTTTCCTAGCCGCCCCCAGCCCCTGTTCTCCGGAGACCCCGCCGCCAAGCGCCGCGCGCGGCGTGCTCACGGTGACCCTGTGTGCGTGAGGTCAGGGCGCGGGGCGGAGCGGCTCAGGGCCGAGGGGCTATGCGGCGGGGCGAGCGCAGGGGCGCCGGGGGGCAGCGGCCCGGGTCCCCCGTACCCGCGGGCAAGGCCTCGCTGGAGGAGCCGCCGGACGGCGCGCCCGTGGGTCGCCGCAGCACCGAGTCCGAGGTGTACGACGACGGCACCAACACCTTCTTCTGGTGAGTGGTGGGGGTCGGCCGGGGTCCGGCGGGGGTCGCGGGGGCGTGGCCACGTCGTTCGGGGTCGGGATGGAGGGCGGTGACCGAGGGACCCCGGGACCGGCGCGGCCCTGCCCCAGCCCGGCCCCCAGCATGCCCACCCCCGCCGCCCGTATTCCGGAGGTTTTGACTCGGACCGCACCTGAGACCGGCTTTTCCTGACCTCCTTGTCCAGAGCGCGCCTCTGCCCTCCGTCACGTGCCCTGGCCGCGCTGCAGCCGCGCCGCGCGAGCGCCCTAGCCCGGCCGGGACCCGAGTGGGTGTGTGTCCCAGTCGCGCCGCCAGGCCTCCGGGTCGGGCTTTCCCCCGGTCTGCCTCGGTGGCGGGAGAGAGGGACAGGCGGCTCTGCTGGAAGAGTTCGTGCTCCGCTCCCCGCGGTTTGGCACTTGTGTGTTTGAGGGATCGGGAAAGCAGCCCGGACCGGCAGGTCCCGGGGTGCTGCTCCGCCTGCGCGCTCCGTGACCTTGGTCCTCCCCTTCACCTTTCTGAGGTTCTCTCTGCTCGCTTGTAAAAGACACGAAGCCCCGGCCGTACGCGGGAAAGCATGGTTCGTGCTTCTCTTTGCCCCGTGCCCGTTCCTGTCCGGGTAAAGGACAGGCTGTGCTGGCTTTCGGGACCTGGGATTAACCCTGGGGTTAGCCCTGGCGGACAGCGGGGAGTGGATGTGGCTTCGGCCCCCCCCTCCCCGCAAGCGCACGGGGGAGACAGCCCGGTCACAGCAAGGGGGTGCCGCGTGGCAACAGCCCTAGGAGGACCAGGTGGTGGGGCTCGTCAAAGGCCTGATTAGGGAGCATGGCGAGCGTGCCGGGGCTGCCGCGCGCCACACGGGAGAAAGGTCAGGAGAGGTGTGTCCGCGCCGCCTGGGGCCCGGTTTGCGCCCGGTTTGCGCCCGACTCAGCAGAGATGCAGGAAGGTGGGTAACCCTGCTCTGGGGACGTGCTGAGCAGCCAGTAGGCGGGAGAGCGGGGGAGTTGGGGGGGGTGGTCCGCAGGGGGTGTGGCAGGGCGCTGAGACCCAGCTCTGCTGGGTCCTGCTGGCCATGCTGCCTGTGGGTCCAGCTGTCCTCCTCCCGCCGCAGGGGGGGCGCCACCCTTTCCCAGACCAGCTGGTGACCCCTGGAGACGCAGAGGTCGTGGAGCACTGTGCCTGGGCCCCTCCTGGGTGCTGGGGGCCATTCCAGAATGAAGCAGGAAGCTTCTGGCCCAAGCCTGTAGTTCACGGGGCACAGAGTCCGCTGAAGGGGGTCCCCACAAACCGAAAGGTCGCCGGTTCAATCCCCGGTCAGGGCACACGGCTGGGTTGTGGGCCGTGTTCCTGATCGGGGTGTGCAAGAGGCAACCAATCAACGTATCCCTTGCAATGGATGTTCCTCTCCCTTTCTCTCTCCCTTCCTCTCTCAAAAACAAGTAAAATCTTTTTTAAAAGTAATGAGTATTGCAGAAAATTAATATAAAGACTGAAGTCTTTATAAAGACTGTGTATTTGTGGAGATAAGCTGATGTTGCAGAATCACTCAGAGGAGCTTCTGCATGGTTCAAAGCCATGCTTTTAAGGTTTTCCTGCCAAAGAAGGTTGGGTTGCTGGGGGCCCGTGATGGTGGTGTGGAGGCCACACACGAGAATTGGGGGCTTCTGTGTTATTATTTGTCAGCCACAGGGTGAGGGCTCCCACAGACTGGGCCCACGGGAGGGGCGTGAGGGCCACGGGGGTCCGGGGTGGCGAGGGCCCTGCTGCCTCTGCTGATTGTGTGGCGTCCGCAGCATCCACAGACTCAGAGGAACCATGCAAAGAGATGTCTGCTCGCATCTAAAAGTTGTGCATGCTTTGGGACCTGGCGCCCTGGGGAGGTGCTGGTGACTTGCCTGACACCTGTAGACTGAACGGCCACTGGACGCCACGCCCCTGGCCCCTCCCGAGTTGGGGGCTGGCTGGGTGGCTGTGCTGTGCGCCAGTGCCTGCCACGCGCTCGACCTCCCACGCTGCCGGCAGTGAGCCCTCGGGGGCCTCTCGCCCACATGCGGCGAGTGTCCCAGGAGCTGTTGGGGTGTTGGGGGTGCTTTAGGTGCCCGGGTTCCAGAACATGCCTCTGTCAGTCACTGGGTGAGGGGCTTGCCGGCGTTGCCCACGTCTGGGAAACAGGACCCCCCGCTGCTGCCTTCTGGGCCGTGCCCGCGGCGTCCCGGCCACCGCGCGCGGGCTCCGCCTCGGCAGGCCTGCCGTCCCGCCCGCCCGGCACAGGGAGCGGGGGCCTTGCTAGGGGTGCCCGACGGCGGGCGTTTTCCCCGCGACGTGCAGGGAGCCAGCTGTCCCCACGCCCTCACCCCTGCCCGGTGGCTGAAGTCACAGGGGTGGCGGCCGCTGCGGTCCTGTGCCCGGATCCCGCGGCCCGAGCCTCCCCGGAGTTTCCCGTCGGCCACCGAGCCCAGGGTGGAGCAGGGAGCAGTCCTGCCTGCAGGGTCTCCTGGGCGTCCCCGCTGCTGCCACGCGTGTGGAAACGCTCTGTGTTCAAGGCAAGGGGCCGTCTTTGTTGAACCCAATGCACAGGAACATTTTAGTTTCTACACCGAACTTGCAAGTTAGTACATCGATTCTCATTTTGAAGATGGGGAAACTGTCTGAGAGAGGAGTAAAGTTGCTGAAGGTCACAAATTTAGTGGGTGGCAAAGCTGCTGTCAGAATCCCTGTTTTTCTACTATGCTGTGTTGCTCCTCCAGGGAAAAGTTTCAGAGCAGGACCCTTAACCTTCACGTGAGACGCGAGGAGCACAGGTGGCTGGCGCTGCCCCAGGTGCGCCCTCCCGGTCGCAGGCTGCGTGCGGGCGCGTCGCGGGGGCTCGAGCCCTGCTGCGCAGGTGCGGCTTCGTTCTAGTGACAGCGGCTTGTCCGCACCCGCACTTCTGCCCGAGGAGAACCGGGGCGAAGGAGCCGTGTCTTTGCCGCGGTGCCGGGATAATTGACGCATCGGAAGGTGCTCCGCACTGTGAAGGAGGTGCCTTTTCCTTTAAAGAAAAGCATCTATTGATTTTCTACAGTGAGGGGAGGGGAAGGAGAACGAGAGGGAGGGGGACATCGAGAGGCCGCCCCGGTGCACGGACGGACCTGGGACGGAACCGGACCTGGGCCCACGCGCGGCCTCGGGGGCGCCGCCCCGCTCACTGAGCCCCACGTGGGGCCAGGCAGCCTTGAGGCCCCTGCTCGTCACCACAGGGAGTCTGTGAAGGGGTTCTTGAAATGTTTTGTCAGGAAAACAGCTTTATTTACCTACCTTTTGACCCGCTTCACCCACTTCCCCCGCCACCCCCGCGCCCGCCTCTGGCTCCCGCCAGCCTGTTTTCCGAATCCCTGAGTCTGCGGCGAGTTTGAGATTCCAGTCACAAGACAGATCTCGCCGGGGCTTGTCGCCCTCTGCCTGACCCACTTCGCTCGGCGCGGCCCTCGAGGCCCCGCGTGCTGGGGGCTAGGGCTTCGTGCTGAGGGCCGAGGGCCGGCAGCCTGTTGCCTGCGTCGGCAGCACGGCCGCTCCGGGCCCGGCCGCTCCGGGCCCAGCCGTTCGCCGGCTCCCGCGGCAGGAGCTGCATGTCCTCCAGGCAGCGCTGTGTTTTTTTCAGTGCCCGGAAGCGGGGTGCCCGGCTAAGTGCCCGGAAGCGGGGCGCCACGGGGCGCTGCGGCAGCTCCAGTTTCACTTTTTCGCGGAACCTTCACACGGCTCCCCTGGAGTCTGCGTCGCGGGCAGTCCCAGCAGCAGCAGCCGCGGCTGCCTCTCCCCGTCCCTGGCGGCGCTGGTTTGCGGGGTTGTTGACGGAGCCGCTCTGACAGCTGTGAGGAGATTCCGCGTTGTGGCTTTGATTTGCATTTGCCTGATCCCGAGCATCTTTTCATGTGGGTGTTGGCCATCTCTGTGTCTTCTTTGGAAAATTGTTCAAGTCTTCCGCCCTTTTAAATCTGATTTTTTGTTGTTGTTGCTGCTGTTGAATTTTATGAGTTCTTCGTACGTCTTGGATATTAGCCACTTATCAGTTATATCATTTGCAAATGCTGTTTCCCAAAGGGTTTTCTTTGCAGTGCAGAAGGAGGAAGCCTTTTCAGAGATGATTTCACCTGTTCTCCAGCACAGCCTGCTCTGGGTCTGAAGGCGAGGCTAGTGCCGCCCCCTTCCTCCGGGCCCCCAGCCCTCTGTCCCTTCCCTGCCTGGCCGGGACAGACCGGACACTCCCTGCACTTTATTTCTGTTTCCCAGGGCCCTTCGGTGGCCGTCTGAGTGACAGCGTGAACATTTATTCCAAGGGGCAAGGAGTGGTCTCTGTTTTTCAGGAAACCCGTGTGTTTTGAACTCGGTGGAAAGACGCACGACCAGAGCTGCCCTGGCTCCTGGCCGGGTCTGAAGAAACCGCAGGAAAGCCACTGTGTGTGTTAAAGCGGCGTTGAGGCGCAGGGCACAAGGCCGTTGTGTTGCCCTGCGGACTGCAGAGCTGCTGTCCTGCCGGGCGCCTGCGGGGATGCACGGTGCCCCCGGCGCGGGCCGGCTCGTGAGCGGGCGCTGCCCTGCCGGCAGCCCTGACCAGCCCTGACCCACCCGGGACCCCGCTGTCCCCGTCTCTCGCCGGGCGCCCAGACCCCGTCTGCCCTCTCACAGGCTCCTCCCCGACACGAGAACCGTCCTGGTGGGTGGCCATCAGTCCGGTGGCCGGGGCCCTGGGACAGGCCGCTGACGTCCTGGGCGGACGCCGCCCTCCGGGAGCCCCGGGAGCCCAGCACGCTGTCGGTCCGCCTCGGGGGGCCGCGGGCACGTGGGGCCCGCGGGGTCGTGCTCCCTGCGCCTTCCTGACCTGCTCCCTGCGGTCGGCCTTCTCAGGGCCTGGGGGACTGTGGGCTGGGGCCTGCCCCACGCAGCCCCGGCCCCGGGCCTTGCCCCCCGAGCGGCTGTCCCACAGCTTTCTGGAGTCTGTTTCAGGCTCTAAGTGACCATCCTGTGACGCCGACCCCGGCGCGTGCAGCCCCGTGAGCATTCGCGGAGGTGGCTCCCGGGACCACCTCACCGTGGTGGGAGCCGCGTGTGCCCTGAGGCCCGGCTCGGTCAGCCCGGTGGCTGCGGGGCGGTTGCATCTGGGTCCTCGCGTGCACCTTCGACAGGCCTGTACTCGGGCGGCTCTTCCCCGTCCTGTCCCGCCTTCCTCTGCCTGCGTCCCACCGGTGCCACGTGTTCTGCTGCGGTGCTTGGTGTTCAGAGCGTGGCTCCGGGCCGGGTGAGCGGCCCTGTGCCTTCCCCGCGGGGCCCCCGTGCTTTCAAGAGCGCCCGTGGGGGAGTCGACCTCGTCCGCAGGCCCCGCTCTTCCTGTGCTGCGGGTGGCCCGGTGGCCCCGGGTCACTGGCCTCTGCCTGAGGCCTTCGTGGCGGCTCCCCCAGCGCAGCTGCAGGGGCCCCCGAGTCCTGCCCTCGTCCCTCCGCCCGAGAGCGCTCGGGTCCGCAGGGCGTTTTGGCTGAACTCTGACCCCTTCAGCGTCGGAGGGAGACGCTCCGCCCTGGAGACGAGGCCTGGGCTGCGAAGCCCTGTCGCCCCCACAGGGGCCGCGCCGCACGGGCCCCGCCCCGGCCTGACGCCCGTGCTTGGCTTCCAGGCGCGCGCACACCCTGACGGTGCTCTTCATCCTCACCTGCGTGCTGGGCTACGTGACTCTGCTGGAGGAGACGCCGCAGGACACGGCCTACAACACCAAGAGGTGAGCCGGCCGTGGCGGCGCGGGCAGGGCTGGGCGCGGGGCCCTCGGTCGGCGGGGAGGCCGGCGGCATCTGCCCCGGGGCGGCCCCTCCTCGCGCCCCCGGGGGTCCGGCGCGGGCCCTGCAGGGCACCTTGGTTCGGGCACCCTCTGCCCGCAGGCCACGGGCTCAGTCCCACAAGTCTCCTCTCCGCGCCCCCTTTAGGCCCAGGTCGTCCCCTGTGCTGACGACCAGCCATGAATCAGAGGGCCCCTCGCGCCCTCCTCAGATGCGGGGCGGCTCTCACGCTCAGGGGCCCTGCACGGCCAGGAGAGTGGGCGGCGCAGGGTGGGGGCGGGGCGCAGGGCCGCCAGGGCCTGTCCTGGGTGTCCACGGAGGCTTCGCCCCCCAGGCGCGATCCACGGGCTCCCTGGCCCTTGGCGACCGGGCTCCACCTCCAGCCCCCGTGCCTGCCCCCTGAGGTCGGCGGCCGGCTGCAAGCCCCCCGCTCCAGTCCCAGCGTCGGGTTTCCCCGCGGGCAGCCCCTGTCCTCGCTCACAGAAAAGAAGACGGCCTGAGGGATGGACGGGCCCCGTGCCGAAAAGGGGGCAGAGCCCAGGCAGACACCTCTCCTCCCCTGTCGGAGCGCCAGAGCCTGCATGTGTGGGTGCCGGGGTCGGGTGGGTGTTCGTGACTGGGAAGATCACATCAGCGAGCGCCGTTTTCCGCTGTGTTGGTGCTGGCACCTCCACTGGCTCTCAGCTCCCGGGCGGCCGTCGGGCGGACGATCTCGGGCGGGAAGCGGGCAGACTCTCTGCTCAGTAGTGTTTTCCACAAAGGCCGGCCGGCAGGCTGGTGTCCGTGGCCTGAGTCCCGTGGGTCCCGGCAACGTGACAGGAAGGTAAGCTGGTCCCACGCCTCACTCGGCAGGTTCCTAGCACGGGGCCGGCCCGGGGACCAGGCCCCACGTGTTCCGGTGGAGGCAGGAGGAAGCCAGCAGGGTCCGGCACTGGGGCGGGGACAGAGGCGGGAGGCCCGGCAGGGCCAGGGGACCACTGGCCAGCTCTGGTGGGTTGCCTGGGGCTCGCACGCCTACTCCGCTGGAGCCGGCCCTTGTTTTGGTAAAATGAGGGTCTTAGCATCTGCCTGGGAGTGGGCTGTGAGCCCTGCTCGCGCTCTGCCGGTGTCAGCGCCCGTTGGGACCAGGTGGCCCCCGCTGTGTGTGTTCGGCCTGCTGTCCGGCAGCTGCTGCAGGGCCGCCGGCCGCAGGCCTTGTCCCGCGGCCGGTCTCCTGCGTGGGAATGGCTGCCAGGGGTCTGGACTCAGGGCCCTGCCCCCCAAGGGGCCCCCGTCTTGCCCTCGCCTGTAATCCTGGCTCCGCTGTCCGGGGGTTTCTGCCTCCCTCCCGCCCCGCCCCCAGCCAACTTCCCCTGGGCGCTGGGTGTCAGCCCGCAGGCCCGCACCTCCCCACAGCGCCGCCTGCTGCACGGCGGGCGGCAGGACGCACACCAGGCCTGCCCGCTGCAGGGGCCCTGTGGCTGCGGGGAAATGAGGCTGTTGGCAGGAGCCCACGGTGCCCGGCGGTGGGGGCGCGGTTTCCAAGCACAGTTGGGTCTTTCCTGTGCGTTCCTCCAACTGTGTGTGTTGACTTAAAAAAATGGAACAGTCAGTTATTTGACCAGAGAAAAATGGGTGTATTCAGGAGCAGCGAAGAATTGCAATTAGGGATGAGCAAGCTCTAGTGAGTTGAATGAGCAAAGGAGAGGGCATTCTTTTATGGAAAAAGGGAGGTTTTGCCGGAAGTTTCATTGGAGGAAAGGGAGGTGGTTTCTCGCTGGCCGGCCGAGGGGCTGGCTGCGGTTTCTCCAACGCCTTCCCTGTTGGGGCTGCAGCTCGTAACTCCGTCCTGTGGAGGACGCTGCTGGGGCCTGGCAGGGACCGGGGTGCTGTGTGGCCCTCCTGGCGCGGCTCCACGGCGGCGTGGGGGCTCTGTGGCACAGCAGGCAGGAGGCCCGAGAGGCGGGGGTTGGCCACACGGAGGCGGGGTCCCTGCGTGGCTCTGCAGTGAGGGTCGAGGCAAGCGGTCCTGATACCACGGAGCCAGTGTTGTCCCAGGAGGAGGGTGACCCCCAGCAGGAGTGGGCCCCCGCGGCATGTCCTAGGAGCGCCTCCCACACGTGGGGGGTTGGCACTCACCCCGCAGGGGCCGGCCCCTCCCCCAGGGCCGTGCGGGGTGCTCTGGGGACAGCGCCCAGCTGCCCGCTGGGGTCTGGGGAGGCTGCAGGGCCGGCCTCTCCCTCCTTACCCCCGCGCTTCTGGTGCCCTGGGGAAGATTTCGTGTGTGGGTTATGCCTGTCTTCCAAAACAAGTGCGTTAAGAATTTAGGAAATTGTTCTCCTCAAGCTCTACTTTTGGTCTGTGCGTCGTCGTTCTTTCTCTGGACCCAGTAAGCGCTGTCGCTCCGCGGGAGGAGGTTGAGTTTTCTTCAGTCACCTCGTTGACGTGTAATTTAATGTGCTGTGTCCCCAGTCACAGTTACGCGCAGTGACTGTCTGCAAACACACCGGCCGCCACTCGGTGGAGAGCCAGGCCGAGCCTCCCCTGAGCCCTGTGGTCAGTGCGGTCGCCCTCACCATTGGCCTGGCGGCCGCCCGTCTGTCCCCATGGGTCCGCCTGCCGCCTCCCGAGGCGGAGTCACCCCGCAGCGCGTGTGTGGCCGCCATCCTCAGCACAGCGGTGGGGACACGCGCAGGCCTCGCCCCTGGTGGCCAGGCCCATTGCCAGGTGGTCCCACCCGCGGAGGCGCCGCGCCTTCAGTGAGCTGTTCCGTTGGCGACGCTGGGGCATCAACCCGTTTCTGTGAATGCACGTGCGCGAGTGTGTAAGCGACCGTGTGAAGACAAGGAAAGACGCCACGGCTGCCAGCAGGTGTTCGTGCAGCGCTTGGGTGCGGGCTTACGGCCCCGGTCCGCAGGACTCCCAGTGCCCCAGCGCAGGAGAGCGGACAGCGCCGGCGGAGAGGCGGGCAGGAGGCCTGAACAGACCCCTCACCAGAGGAGACGTGCGCGGCTGGCAAGCATGTCTGTTGTCAAGGAAACGCAGAGTGAAGCTGGGACCCCGCCGTGCACTGTCGGACACTTAAAAACACGCCCCGCCGCTGCTGGCGCGGCCCGAGCAGGACCATCGCCGCTGCAGGGGATGCAGTGGGGCGGCGGTAAGGGAGGCGGCCGGGGTCACGCAGGGCCGCCCTCTCACCCTGCAACCCCGCGGCCGTGCCCCTGGGCGTCCGTCTGCGTGGGTTGGAAACTGGAGTCCCAACAGCAGCTTGACTCTCGGCTGCCACCACTGGAAGAAGCGAGACGCTCTCAGCAGGGGGTGGGCAACGCACTCTGGGACGCTCTGCCCTCCGGGGTGCCTTCGGCTGCTCCAGCTTAAATCTGGGGAGGCAGAGCAGATCAACGAGGAAAATGACCAGCTGCGACCCCGCTGTGTGCTAGGGGCGCCCCGCCAGCACGAGAGGTCCGTGCACAGCAGGGAGCACGGGGTGGGCGGCCGCCTTGAGCCGAGGACGCACAGGGCACGGCGGCCTCAGGGGTGGGGCCGCTGCAGGCGATCCGCAGAGCAGATGACCAGGAATTAGATGCTTGCCCTGCCCCATACACGCGTCATAAAAAGTTATTTCTGGCCCTGGCTGGTGTGGCTCAGTGGATTGAGTGCCAGTCTGTGAACCTAAAGGTCGCTGGTTCGATTCCCAGTCAGGGCCCAGGCCTGGTTTGGCAGCCAGGTCCCCAGTGGGGGGCGCAGGAGGCAATTGTTTGATGTATCTCACACATGGATGTTTCCTTCCCTCTTTTTGTCCCTCCTTTCCCCTTGAAAAAGAAAGAAAATCTTTTTTAAAAAAATTATTTCTGGTCATTATAATCTTAGAATGGGCAAGGCCACGAATTTAACCTTTTCCTGGGAGAGGTGGAAGCTTCCCGCGCGTCCACAGGGTCTCGATTGCCTTCAGCTCAGAATCACCCCCATGCCAAAGCGGCACGCCACGGGGACCCGCTTCTGCGCAGCTTCCGTCCGCCGTCAAGACTCCCTGAGAAGCATCACCGTCCGGAGTCGGGTCTCTAGGTTGTTCCCTGTCGTGTGGAACCAGTCTCATGAGAGCAGTTCAGCCAAACAACTGTGTCTCGTTTCCAAAGGCAGCGATGCAGGTGGGCTCCCCACGTGTGGCCCATGGCCAGGGAGCCCGGTGCTCAGTGAGGAGGCCTCCCGGCCGAAGCCAAGGAGAGACCCGGACGAGGGTCAGAGCCAACATCCCCCCGGCCTGGGGGGAATTTTTCCTCTCCAAAATCACCCCAATTTTTGCCAATTACTAGGAAAATGATGTAGTTTCAATAGACTTGGCCTGTTACTTGCATAGTAGGAACAAGAATAGTAATTAATCACACAGGTTCTTTTAAACCTGCTTTGCTAGAATTTTTCTTAGGGAACCTCTAGACTGAACTTGACCTCTTGAGGCCAGAAAGGCCAAGGCAAGGACTTTGCCTGCAGTATCTGTAGATTTGGGTACCTGCCAGGACGTGACCCCGCCCACCCACCTGGTGAGGCTGCTGGGACTCTGTGCGCAAGGGGGTCCCAGGGTCCTTCCTGGTTCCTGTGTGTCAGTCCCACACGTAGTTCCTTAAAGCTCTGCGGTGCCCCCTGACCGTCCCCATGTCCCTCTCAGGTGTGACCTCCCCGTCCGCGCCCAGCAGTGGGACCAGCCTCCGGGAGAGCTGGCCCCTGCTGCAGCCAGTGCGCGGGGGTGGCGCTGGCAGGGGGCACAGGGCAGCTCCGGGGGGTGGGGGGGGACGGTGCTCCTGTCCTGCTCGCACGGTGGAACTCACTGCATCGCTCTGAGTCACGGCTCGCCTGAGAGGAAGGTTCCTTCCACCTGGACAGCAACAAGATTGAAGAACCGGCCATGTTTCAGGCAAAAGTCGCAAAGACCCATTGCCCTCATCAGCTCATCCAGTCTTGTGAGGACGTCTGTTCTGCTGGGAGCCCATTTCCTGTGATTCCTGTGACCTGGCCTGTGGGCCACGGGGACAGGGGCAGGGGTCGTGCCCCGTGCTCGGTGGCTGTGCTCCGTGCGGTGGGCGTCCCAGCCAGGAGGCTGTGGTCGGTGCACCCACCCCACGTGCGGACACGCATTCCTGTATCCTCTCCCCGGCGGAGGCGCCCGCCGCCCGGGAAGGACAGCTCGCGGCCTTGGGCTGCGAGGATGCCCAGACCCTGGAGGGCCCGGCGGGTCGGGCCTGGGTCCCACAGCCCAGTGACTCGCAGCCAGGTCGCCGTCTTGGCTGCTCAGATTGAGGGCAGGCGGTGGCCGCAGGACGAGGGCGCCTGGGTGGCACTCTGGTGCCAGGTTTGTGGAGGGAGCGGAAGCGGCCCCAGGCTCCGAGCTTGGCTGCCGCCGCCCACGCGGCCTATCAGTCGCCAGGGCCTTGGCGATGAGCCGCCCCCGCGGAGAGGCAGTGCCCTCGTGCCCTCAGGATGGCGGAAAGCTCAGGGAGTTCTTCTGGGACAACACGGAGCCTTGGCTTCCTCGGCAGAGAAGCTCTCTCAGCGAGTTCTCGGGAGCCGGCCAGTGGAAGACCCTGGTCCTCTCGCAGGTGGCAGCGCCATGTTCTGTGGGCTGCCGACGGCAACGCTGCGTGAACCCCCCATTCGCCTCGCCCGGCGCCGCCGCCGCCTCACGGACTTCTCACAGCTTCCTCGCCCCTTTTCCGGGGCCCCTCGTTCTCCGACCCACTCGGGCCAAGAGCGCTGCCGTGTCCTGCAGCAGAAGCCGTCCACCTCTCGCGCCTTCTTTTAAGCCAAAACACATCCTATTTTTCTGGTATACGCATTTGTTTTTCGGATTATTATTTGTAGTTTTTTTACATTTCATTTTTATTTACTTTTAAAGAGAGGAGAAGAGAGGGAGAAAGAGGGAGAGAAACATCGATGTGTGAAACAGCCGTGGGGTTGCCTCTCGCGCGCCCCCCGCCGGGGACCCGGCGCGCGGCCCAGGCGGCGCCCAGTCCACGGAGCCACCCCGCCGGGGCTGCTTAACGCACATTTTATCACGGCAGAGTTACTCTTCTTGCTGGCAAGTTTGGAACTCGGGTGACGTGGACTCACTCGGCTGGGGGGCTGGGCAGAATGCCGGGCTGCTCGCGTCTGAGGGCGTGCGCGTTGGTTCCCATCGTTGCTTCGCAAGTGTCACAGAGGCACTCGTTTAAGCCATTAGACAGAGGTCTTTGGCCGATCCGTGGTATCTTCCGGAGGCAGAAAGCCCCGCACAGCACCCACGTGCTGGCCCAGAAGCAGGCGAGCCTCTGGCCGTGGTGGGGCTGAGGCAGCCCGGAGGGGGGAAGCCTTTTTTAAGCGCTGTTTGTGGCACCAACGGTTAACCTTTGTCCCGGGCAGGGGTCCCGGGGCCAGAGAAGCGGCCTGTGGTCTCCCCTGCGTTCCTTCAGTCTCGGCCCGGGGCCGGCGGGGGGTTCGGCTGCCCCTGGGCTGCGGCCCTGCCTTCGGGACGTTTGTGAGGCAGGACCTCGCTCCGACTCCAGGAAACAGGGCTGGGGCTCGAGTGACGCCCCGGCTGCCCCTCCCGTCTGGCCTGGGTCCCTGGCTGCCTCCTCTGCCCGGGCCCCAGCCTTGCTGTGCCTTCGGGAGGGGCCTCTGAGCAGCCCTTTCGCCCCTGGGCCGTCAGCGTCCGGTCACCAAAGGTCTGCTCAGGAGCCGTTGGGCCGCCTCATGTACCTCGCCGGGCTCGGCGGGGACAGACGGCAGGTGCTCGGGGGGACCCGAGAGGGAGCTGCGCCGGCTCTTCCACAGCGGCCAGTGACGGGCAGAGGAAGGGACCACTGCGGTCCTGGGCCAGGCCGTCACGGGAGCTGGTGCCCCCGGGGAGCGAGGGCCCGGGCCCAGCCGGCCTGCGCTGGGGGGCGGGGGGGCGGGGGCAGTGGAGGCACCCTGTGCTGGGCTCGGGCGGAAGCCGGGGTCTAGGAGACGCTCTGATTAGGACCCTTCCCTCCGGTGGCCTTAGGCCAGAGAGAGGGCCTGGCCTTCATGTCGGGGACCTTGGGTCCCCTTAACTTTTCATCAGTCTTCTGCCACAAACCTTTCAGCGAAGATATTTAAAGATTTTTCAGCTCCCATATTCCTCCCTGTGGCCTTGTCAGGACTGTGTGAGCAGGGGTGGGCTTTACGGCTCTGGGCAGGACCCCCGTCCCCAGCCAGACAGCGTCAGTGCCCGTGGGAGGGTCGGCGCAGGGCAGCGCGGCTGCTCCCTGCGGAGCCCGGTGGCAGCACCGGGCCCCTGCGATCGCACCAGCTGCGCTGCCCTGTGCCTCCCCGGCGGGCGCTCGGCTGCCATCCACACGCCCCCGGGCGTGGGTCGTGCAGATTCCTTGTCTCGGCCCTGGTGCTCGTGTGAAAAGGCCAAGAACCCGGCTCCTTCTGCCGACGGTTCCCTCCACCGGCCGCCCAGCCGCTGCCCCAGGGCTCTCACCGCCGCCCCCGCCCCCGCCCCTGGGCTCGTGCCCTCTCCACCCACGAGCAGGGCAGGGGTGGCCGGTGCGGGACGCGGCGGCCTCTGCCTGGGCAGCACCTCCCCTGGGAACCGGGCCGAGGCCGCCCTCCCCGCCGGTTGCCTGTGGCTCCGACCACAGTGCACCCCGTTCCCCAAGAGCCGGCCTCGCGTCTCCTCACCGTCAGGAAGGGGCTCGCTGCCACATGTGCTTGTGTTTGTTTTTTAAATCAGTCGGTCGTCCTGTGGGAACCAGTAAACCCTCTGTTACGGTGCAGGCTCTCCCAAAATGTCCAGGTCAGAGGCTTTTCTGGGCCAAGGATCCCTGTCCGTCTGGCTGGTGCCAGTAGGCTCTCTCCCTCCCCAGAGCAACGCCAGCCTTTCCCTGGGGAAGCCTGGAGCCCGCCCCCCAGGCTCAGGCTAGACCTGCACGACGCACGGTGTGCAGCCCACGGCCACGCGCTCTCCCCGGGCGGACGGAGCACCGGCCTTCGTCACACAGGCCGCTGGGCTGGGGCCGTGCACAGGGGTCTCCGGTCTCCACAAAATCCCGGCGCTGACGGTCATGCAGGTGGAGACGACAGACCCTTATGGTCCAGGTTTCTCGTGACCCCCCCCCCCCCGAGAGCTGGCACAGCCGGAAGACGACCCCGGGACTCCCAGCCTGTCCAGCAGGCCACCAGGAGCAGCCCACTGGGTGTGCCTTCCAGAAGGTGGAGGCCAGAGACGAAGCCAAGCTCTGGGGACACAGAACAGGATGGAAGGAGTAACCTCACCCCGTGTTCAGTGGGAACCCACAGCCACGTTAGCCTCCGCAGGCGCCCCCAGGCAGAAAAAGGCCGCCTGCTGCAGAGGAAAGAGTCGCCAAGCCCCGGGAGCCGGCCTCACAGATGGGCCCTGCCGATCTAAGTCCCGAAGACAGAGGGGGGCCTGCCGCCTTGAACTCCTGCCGGACACAAGGAGGAGACCAGGGAGGCAGCCGGCAGCCGCTGGCCGCGCGCCCAGCCTCCGCCGCGGTGGCTCGGGGGTGTTCTTCCCACTGGACCAGTGATCAGACTCGTCCGAGCCCAGTGAGCAGCAGAAAGCGCCCGGACGTAGGACAGATGTGCACGTGGGGCCCCCGGGCGGCCCGGCCCACGAAGCCCACGCGCCACAGTCGAGCCCTGGGCGCAGCACTCGGCCCCCAGGGAGGGGCGGCCCTGCCGCGGCCCCGCCCCCCAGGCCCTGCTTCCGCTGGCCCCGCCCCACGGGGGTCGGGCTGTCACTGCGCGGGCGTCGGGGGTCCCTCCCGCCCCGGGGGGCGCCGGCTCGGACCTGCGCAGACGCATACTGAGGGGCTGTCTGTTCTTTATTTGCAGAGGTATTGTGGCCAGTATTTTGGTTTTCTTATGTTTTGGAGTCACACAAGCTAAAGACGGGCCATTTTCCAGACCTCATCCAGGTAACTTGCCGTTTTGTTTGCGTGTGTGCCCGTGTGGCGGTGCCGTCCCGACCGGCCACCGCCCGAGGAGGACGAGGGGGCCTGCTCCCTCGGCCCCCGCGCCCCCTTCAGGCCGTCTCGGTCTCGCTCCCCTCCTGTCCCGCGGGGTCCTCGTCCTCCCGTCTGCCCGCCCCGCCTTCCTCGGGGGCCACGTCCGCAGGCGGGTACCCCCAGGGGCCCCTGGCAGGGTCGAGGGGCCTCCACGGGCGGCTGTGCTGCGAGTGTGAGGCACCCGCCCTGCCATCGAGGCAGCGTCTGCAGCGAGTTGTCCTGTCTCTGCCCCCCGCCCCTCGAGGTTATGGGGGTCCTGCCAGCCCTGGTCCCAGAGCTGGAGCCGGAGCCACGCCTGCCGGGCCTCCCTCGGGCCGGGCGTGCTTGGCTTTCCTGAAGGGCATGTTTCTTTCTCCTTGCAGTAGGGGTGTGTACAACGTTTATTGTAGAAAATTTTGAAAATACAAAAGGGATCTTTAAGTAAAAATAAATACCACTCACAAAGAATAACTGCTGCTAAGCTTCGATGTGTTTGTACACGTCTACGCAGACGTAGCTTTGAAAGTCGGAGTCCGTTGCCGCGGCCGCCCCTGCCATGCGCGCCCCGGCTCAGGCCCGACACAGCGTTTCCTGTGTTTTCACTTGACAGTTGGACTCTCGGGGGCGACTTGTCCAGCTGTCGTGTGCACAGCCTCGTTCACGCTGACCGGTCGGCGCCCCGTGGCTGCGTGTGCAGGGGTCCCAGCTTTAGCTGCGGCCGCCTTCCGCGCAGGCCGCCTGTGCGCCTGCCCCGGCCGCCCGCCCGCCCGCCCGCCGGGGTCCCGGGGGCAGGGCCGTGATGAGGGCTCGGTGCCCTGAAGGGCCGCCTCTGCGGCCCGGTGAGCAGGTCCTCGTCGCGAGGTGCCCGTCTCGGAGCGCCCCAAGCGGCAGGGCACGGCCGCGCCGAGGGCGGGGGGCTCTCCCCCGCCCCGGGGCTGCACCTGCAGCCCGGCCTCCGGTGGCCTGGGCCCCCGAGGTGACAGCTGAGAGCCCCCAGCGTCCCGGCGCAGGCTGGCGCAGGCAGTTTGTCGAATGGAGGGAAGAGGCAGCCCGGCCGAAGCCAGTCGGCCACCAACCTTGTGGGCACCCGGTGCCGACAGCCCTGCCGGGGGCCAGGGGTCAGCGGCTGGCCTGGCGTTTGGCCGTGCGGCTCAGGAGAAAGTGGGAGGCCGGCCATCTTCGAAAGCAGCCACGGTGGCTCCTCCAAGCCGAGGAGCGTGAAGCCAGTGGCCCTGCAGAGGCAGCGGGCGGGCCCCGCATCCGCCTGGGCCCCGCTTGGCCCTTCCTTCTGTTCAGGGACTGTGCCCGAGCCCCGGGCATCGCTGCCGTGGACATGGCGGCCTGGCCCGGGCCCCTCCAGGCGCCGTTAACACTGGGGCCGGCGGGACACCCTCCCGCTGCTCCCCGCGAGCACACCCCGCGCGGCCCTGCGCAGCGCGCCAAGGGGCAGCTGGAAGGGTGTCTTGGCTCCTCGAGGCGGCGCTGTGGGGGGCGGCTCCCTGCGTCCCCTCTCCCCCACGTTGCTTCCCCTGGTGCTGGCGTGTCCCCGGGGAAAGGCTGCCTTCCCTCTGGCCTGAGGCGTCCTCTCGCCGGCTCCCTCTGGCGGCCGGGCCGCCCAGGGCGTGGCAGGGCTGTGGTGGCCCCAGGTTCACTGTGTGGGAAGAGAGGAGGGTGGGGAGTGGGTGCTGAGTCGGGGAGACGGAGACCAGCCTCCTGAGGTGGAACCGCGGGGTGGGGGCTGGGCAGGTCTGGGACCCTGGCTGCAGGGCCTCAGAGACGGGGACTCGGAGGTCGCCCACCGGTTCGGGCGGCACGGGGCCTGCCCCAGGGCCGCCGCCGGAGGGTGGCAGGCAGCCCCGGGGAGGAGACCCCTCCGGACTCCGCCTGTGGGCGCGAGGCCCCCGTCGCTGGGGGCTTGTCCGCCGCCGGCAGCTGTGGGGGGCGGGCAAGGACAGCCCCCGCGGTTCCACCACAAGCGCTGGCAGCGGCTGGCGCGGCCCTGGGGCCCGGGAGGCTGCTCTGAGCTCTTCCCGTCCTCAGCCGTGCGTCCCCGCCCGGGAACTGCACCCGCGGGCCCTCCTGAGAACGCGCCACGCGGGTGCTTTCCGCCTGCGCCAGGCCTGCTTTCCTACGGGGCGGGCGAGAACAGGCTCCCTCTGGGGATGCAAATAGAGATGCCGGCTCGCACGCCCACAGCTGTGAGCCTGCTTTCGCCCACCCAGGGCCGCTCTGGGCCCGTTTCCTCAAGCTGCTTGGAGGAAGCGGAGGCCCCCGAGGGGCCAGGAGGCCCCCGAGATGCCTGGGGCCACACCACCAGGCGCTGCAGGGCCCTCGCTCCCTGTCGGGCACCCGCCCCCCATCCCTCCCCCCCCATGCCTGGGACCCCTCCCCCCTCGGTCCCAGCCTGGGGCGCACTGTGCACGGCGGACACAAGAGTCCCTAGACCAGCAGGAGCAACGGGAAAGCAGAACCTCGGGCCTTTGATAAACAGGGTTATCAAGGTTCTCGGAAAGCGAAAGTCTGCACTTGAGACCAGTTCTAGGCTTCCTCTCCCGGCGCCTCGTCCCACAGTGAAAAGCTGTTTCCCCCGGAGCCCGTGGAAGGCGGGGGCGGGGGCGGGGGCGGGCCCGGCCGAGGGCAGCGGGCGCCCGGCCGCCCCTCAGCTCACGGGCTCCGTGCTGTGGTGGCGGGACCGCTCAGGATCTGCTCGCAGAGACTTGACGCGTGAACGTGACCACCGCGGGGGCCAGGTCCTCGGGGCTGGGACTGAGACTGAGGACGGTTCCCCAGAACAGGTCACGGTGACCAGATGGGGTTCGTCCCAGGAACTCCAGGCTGGTTCAACGTCAGAAAACAGTCGGTCCTCTTAAATGCGGAAAAATGAAATTTCACACGCGTTCGTGATAAAAACGTCACAGTGGAAGGGAAGGACTTTGGACAGGACGGGGGGACCCCGACCCCACAGCCCGTGCAGTGCTGAGGGCCGGAGACCCTGCGGGCGTCCTGTCTGCTTCTGTTCTGCGCTGCAGTGAGCGGAGGACACGGAGCTGTCGGGGTGCGGCGGAAGGAGAGCCCCCGAGAGCGGGGAGGGGCCGGGGCCGGGGCGGCCGGGCTGACCCTGCGCTCTGTCCCCGCAGCGTACTGGCGGTTCTGGCTGTGCGTCAGCGTCGTGTACGAGCTGTTTCTCATCTTCATCCTCTTCCAGGTAAGTGGCTCTTCGTGGCTGGTGAACCGGGGGTTCGAGAAGTCGGTGGCCCCCAGGAAGTGAGTGGTGACCGAGGAGGCTTTGCCCAGGAGCCCCCAGAGCCGTCAGCACAAGCCTGCCGTCCGCGGTGCGGAAGGCAGGGGGAGCTTGACGCGGGGAACGGCCTGCAGGCTGGGGCAGGGCGGCCTGGGAGGGGAGGGCAGGCGCCCGTCCAGAGACGGGGGGCGGGCGGGGCGCCCGTCGCAGAGACGGTTCCTGTCCTGGTCCCTGACGGGCTCACCTCTGTGCAAATGAGGAATCCGGGTTTGCACAGCCTCAGGGGTCCAAATAGCACTGTCCTGAGGGGTCAGCTTTACAAGTCCTGAGTGGCTGTTACGGAGCAGCTCTGATTGGTCAGTCTGACCAGACGAGGTACCTCAGCGCAGCTTCAACCGCAGGGGCACCTCTCAGCCTTCGGGGGACAGGCGAGGGCGGGCGGAGGCCATGCGGGGCCTCCAGAGGCTCCGCGGGTGGGGCGACCAGAACGTCCCCCCGCCACAGGCTCGGCTCTGCACGGAGCGCGGCGGGCCTGCGCCCAGCACACGGACCCTTCCCGTGGGGGCGCCTTTTCCCTGAGTGGCGGGAGCCCAGGTGCGAGCAAGGGGCGTGGCTGGGGAGGGAAGCACGGGGGACCCGCGGTCCGCAGGGCGTCTCGTTTCTGCTTGAGCAGGCGCCTCTGCCTGCCGCCCTCCCCGGCCCCGCTGCGGGGCAGGGGCGCCTCAGTGCGTGCCGGGCCAGGGGTGTTGCTCTGGTGTCCGTTTTATTGGGGTTCCTCCTCCCGCCTGGCTTGAAGATCACGTTTGGACGGTGGTCTTCCGTTTCAGAGTGTTGACGCGAGAGACCGGGTTCTCACGGACGCGTGTAAGGAATTCCCGATCAGCAAGCCTGTCAGCGTGCAATCCATGTGTTAGTGACCCGTTCCCGGGGAGGAGAGCGGGCCTCGCCGGGGCGGGGGGCGGGGGGGGCAGAAGGCCTAGCAGGGCGACCGGAGCAAGGGCGGCCGGAGCCCGGGGTGGCGGGCCCGGGGAGCCAGGGCGCCGAGGGCGCGGGTCCCTCCGTCTGCGGACTCCTAGGTGGCGGGAAGGGCGTGCAGACGTTACGTGCGGACTGCAGACGCGGTGCCAGCTCTGCGGGGGGCGGGGCATCTGTTAGCCCGATTCCTCGTCTTGCTCAGGACTCCGTGTGTTCATCACGGTGCAAAACAGACACGTGACAGCAGGCGGGACAGTTACCCAGAGTTCCCTGTGGGCTCTCGTGTGGGCACGTGGACCCTCCCCGCACCCCAGGCCTCGGGATGAAAGCGCGGGTCCCAGGCCTCCTCTCCCAGGCACTGGAAACGCGACAGGGACGGCCGGGGACCCCCCTCCCCCCAGGTGACGCGGAGTTTCTCTTGAGGCGGGGGCCCTGGCCGTGTGCAGGACCAGGCCCGGGACGGCGGAGCCGGCGGGTAAGGCACGTGTCCCTCCCTCTTGCTGCCGTGGTTTGCTGTTCACTCGGCCTAAGCGCTGCAAGGAGGTTCCCGGCAGCCAGGGTGCCGGGCGCTGGCCCGCGGCAGCAGCGCAGCCTCAGTCCCTCCCGCGCTGGCTCCTGCCTCCGAAGGCCTTCCCTGCTCAGGGTCCCAGGAGTGCGTCTGTGCGTGTGGCGCATGGTCCGAGGGCCAGTTGTGCTCTTAATTGAGGGTAGGCGTGCAGTTCTGTGAAATTTCGGCACCTGCTCGTAGCTGGTTAAACACCCCAAGTAGGACACAGGACGGTCCGTCCCTCAGCACCCAGGTGTGGCCAAGACGCGTCCCACCCCCCGCCCCTCCCTGCTCTGCCCGCCCTCCGTCGCCGCAGCCTGGTCCCCGAGCTTCTTGTGCACTGTGTGACCGCTGCTGTCCCTGACATGCATCCGGCGTGTGGGTTGTCGGCACTCCAGTCGCTTCTGCTGCCGAGCGCTGCGTGCACACGCCTCCACCTGTCCCTTCGGCAGACGCTGGGAGACCTTCTCCTCGTTCCTAGCTGGGCCGGTTCGGACAGCGCGGCTCGGAGCACCCGCCCGGCTCCCATGTGCGCGGGGCGGTGCTGCAGCGGCGTGTGGGGCGCAGTCTGACTTCCGGGGGCTGCCCGCTGCGCCCCCGGGGCCCCCGATGGGCTCCCCCAGCACGTGAGCCCCGGTCCCGTCCTGTCAGCACGGCAGCAGCCCGTGACCGGTCTCGGGTGCGTGTCTCAGTGGCCAGCCCCGGCGACCGGCTTCCCGTGCGTTTACTAGCCGTGCGGACATCCCCTCGGTGAGGTGTTCAGGTGTTTTGCCTTTGTAAAATGTTGATGCTTTTTCTAATAGTCCTGGTCCGCATGGTCCAAGGTCCCCTGCTGGCTACGTGACGGCCTTTCTGTGCGAGCGGAGGCCTCTCCATTTCTTCTCCGGGTCTCCATTCTGAGGGCCTGGCTACAGTGTCTTTCTCTGACGCCATGATACTGAGATTATCTCGTGTATTTTTTTTCTGAAAGTTTCGAAATAAAATCTAAAAGTTTAGATTTTATTCTTAGATCTCAATTTTGAGGGTTTTTGATTGAAATAACTCTAGATGGATGGGAAGCTGTGAAGAGCCGCACAGCGAGGTCCCGGGCGCGCTCCCCCCGGCTCCCCAGGGGCGGCGTTCGGCGCAAATACAGGATGGTGTCAGGCCGGGGAAGTGAGTGAGAGCACGTTGCATTTCACCAGGTTCACGCGCATGTGCTTGCACACACGCATGTGGAGTTCTGTGCAATTTTTTAGCTTTATTATAGTGCATTTAATATTTAAACTTTTTAAAGTTTAGCAAGAAACACAAAACATAAAATTTACCATCTTGCCTGACTGGCGTGACTCGGCTGGGTGTCGTCCCGCGGCGTGAACGGCCCTCAGCTTGGTCCCCTTTCGGGGCGCCGGCCTGGGTCGCGGCCGGGTCCCCAGTCGGGGCTCCCGTGGGAGGCCCCTGGTAGATGTTTCTCTCTCATGTCGCTGTTTCTCTCCCTCTCTTTCTCCTTTCCCTGCTCTCTAAGATAAATAGGTAAATAAATAAAACCGTGTAATTCACCGCCGGAACCGTGTTTTGGCGCACAGCTCAGCGGTATGAAGCACATTGACGTGGCTGTCCAGCCGTCGCCACGGCCCTCTCCAGAACTTGCCATCTTCCCACACGGACGGACGGACGGCTGTCCTCGTCCCACACCCGCCCCGCCCCGCGGTGTCTGTGGCCGCGAGCCTCCCGGCCTGTGCGCGGCCGCGCGGTGCCTGTGCTGGGCTGTCCGGCCCGTTGCGCCCGCACTGCCCCCGGAGCAGGAAGGGACCGTCCTCCCTCTGTAGGGCTCGGCCGCGGGCCACGCGCTGCGTGACCAGCTCCGTCCGTGGCCTGTGACCCCGCGTGAGCGAGAGTGATGGGTCTGTCGCGGCCCCTGTTTCCAGCTCCTCGGACCGAGCGCGGGGGAGGACTTGCTGAGTCATAATGGAGTTTTATGTTCGACTTTTTGGGGAACCTCCACATTGGTTTCCCACGGCACCTTCACCGTGTTCTGTTCTGGCCAACAATGCGCAAGTCCCCGTGTCTGCACTGCCGCGCTGACACCTGCCACTTCACTTCTTCTCACTTCATTCTGCGTGTCTGACCACGGCCACCCCGATGGGCGTGCGTGGTGCGGCCCTGGGCGTGTGGCTGACGTGTGTCTCCCAGGCGGCGGCTTCTCCTTGGGAGACCAGCTGTACTTTCTGAAATTTTTATGGTCCATAGTTTGTTTTCTCTATGTATTTAAAATAAAATTTGTACTTAAGTACAGATTGATGAGATAGCAAAGCTAGGACAGAGAGTTCCTGTAGAGCCTGCTCCCGGTTTCCTCCTAGGAACCAACGTCAGTGCCTTGTGCGTAACTGGAGCCGACGTTTTCAGGTCCCCTCAGTTGCCCCGTCAGCTGCCGCCAGCTCACACCCTCAGGGGTCCCCTGTGCGGGGCGCAGGGCAGAAGGGACCTGGGTCAGTGCAAGCAGTCCCCTTCGGCCGCAGCGCGGCTACGAGGCCAGGCCCATCGCTGGCCGCTCGCTGGCTCGGCCCTGTGGTCACCACCACACGCAGGAACTTCGGAGACACCTGCAAGACCCCAGGCCAAGGACGGGGCCTCGGGTGACAGGCTCAGGCCTGAGTGTGGCCTGCCCACGCCGCCGCGGCCCCTCCCCGCTTTGTCCCGGGGCTGTGACGGGGGACGGGAGACAGGGTGCGGGCGGGGTCCCGAGGAGGGGCACACGGGGTGCTCGCCTCCGTCGCTGCGGCCGCAGGATGTCTGCTGGCGCTGGCGTCCCGGGGCTGCCGCAAAGCGCTGTCCTTCCTCGTGGGGGCCGAGCCCCCCAGCGCTGGGCCACCTGCGCCTCTCCCGTTGGAGGACCGCGCCGCGGGGCCCTTCGGGGGCACGGAGCAGCACCAGGACCCCCGCTCTGCCCAGCTCTCAGTGGGGGGCGGCGTGCTGGCCGCCCGGCTGGTGGGAGTGTCTACACCTCGGACCGCGCCGCGGGGGTGGGCGCGGGTGTCGGGGGCCGCGGGCGTGCGGCCCCACTGACGAGGATGCCGGCCTTGCAGACCGTCCAGGACGGCCGCCAGTTCCTGAAGTATGTCGACCCGAGGCTGGGGGTCCCTCTGCCGGAGAGGGACTACGGGGGGAACTGCCTCATCTACGACCCAGACAACCAGACGGACCCCTTCCACAACGTCTGGGTGAGGAGCGGCCGGAGGTCCGAGGCGGGGCCCCGGCGGCCTGTGGCGCCGTCCCCAGTGCTGCGCTGTGCTGAGTGTTTCTGGGGCCTGTGTCGCCGCACGGTGGGGGCGGCCCCCTGGGAGGGGCGCCTTGCTGTCCTCAGAGCTGAGTGTGTGCCGCCCACCCACGCCACAGAGCACGTGCACGCGACCTCGGACCGGCCCGGGGCCCAGCCGGCGCTGTGCCGCGGGGCCCTGGGCGTGGGTGGGCGGGCCCTGCTGAGGCTACAGGGGGGAGTCCCAGGACCCGGCCCCGGGGGGGAGGGGGCTGCAGGGGCCGGGCCCGTACGAGCCTGCGCCCGCTGCCCTTCCCCAGGACAAGCTGGACGGCTTCGTGCCTGCGCACTTCATCGGCTGGTACCTGAAGGTGAGGCGAGCATGTCGTCCGCTGGGCATCTGGGTTCCTCGCCTGCCCTGCGCTGTGGGGCCGCTGGCCGACGGTCAGAGTGGCCTGACCGATGGGGGTGGCCTGGGGGCCGCAGCGCGAGAGGGGCAAGCTGTCCAGAGGGTCCGCGAAACAGCCTGGGAGCCGTGGGTGGGAGCCCCACCCGTGCTTGTCCCTGGCACGTGGTGGCCAGGGAGGGTGCAGGAGAGAGACCCCTGAGGCCTCGGCCCCAGGCCCGCCCTGCTCCCGAGTGAGCGTGTGGCCCGGCCGCCTCCACCCCGGCCCTCAGACCCTGATGATCCGCGACTGGTGGACGTGCACGATCGTGAGCGTCATGTTCGAGTTCCTGGAGTACAGCCTGGAGCACCAGCTGCCCAACTTCAGCGAGTGCTGGTGGGACCACGTAGGTTGTGGGGGCGGGGGCTCCACCCCAACTTGTCCTGGGGCCCAGGCCTCGCCCCACTCTCCGGGAGGGGGGCGTGGGCACGGGCCCCTCAGACGCGGCAGCACGGGGCTGCAGAGCCCACGGTGCCTGCCTCCTGTCCGCAGTGGGTCATGGACGTGCTGGTCTGCAACGGGCTGGGCATCTACTGCGGCATGAAGACCCTCGAGTGGCTGTCCCTGAAGACGTATAAGTGGCAGGGCCTCTGGAACATTCCCACCTACAAGTACGTCCCCCGAGGGCCCCGCTCCCCGGGGGTTGGGCATCGGCGCGGGTCCTGGACATGGCCCCTGAGGTCCAGGCAGGGTGACAGATGAGGGTCTTGCCTCTTAGAGTCTGTACCTGGGACTGGACCCTGGGCTGCCCGTGGGGACCCCACCAAGGCCCCCGCCATGGCCGGGACGTTGGCCCGGCCTCACCTGCCTGGCGTTTTCGTCCCGGGGGGCCGTCCGGTGAGGCAGCCGTGGGCACTGCCTGTTTCAGTTTGAGAGAGGGCAGCTGTCGCGAAGCAGCCTGGGGCGGGAGGGGGGGGGGACGGGGGGCCTTCGCCGCCGCCACTCACGGTGCCGCGTCCTGGGACCCGGACGCTCTGACCCCCGCCGCCCTCGGCTCAGGGGCAAGATGAAGCGGATCGCCTTCCAGTTCACTCCCTACAGCTGGGTGCGCTTTGAGTGGAAGCCGGCCTCCAGCCTGCGCCGCTGGCTGGCCGTGTGCGGCATCATCCTGGTGGTAAGTCCCACGGCCCGTGCGACCTCCTCCCCCCTCCCCCTCCCCCCTCCCCGCCCGGGCCGCCGCCCAGCCTCCTGGCCCCCAGTTTCTGTTGGCAGAACTGAACACGTTCTACCTGAAGTTCGTGCTGTGGCTGCCCCCCGAGCACTGCCTGGTCCTGCTGCGGCTGGTGTTCTTCGTGAACGTGGGCGGCGTGGCCATGCGGGAGATCTACGACTTCATGGACGACCCGTGAGGCCCGGGACGGGGACAGGCAGGGGAGGGGCGCTGGGGCAGGGCGGGCGCCCTCACCGCTTGCCCCGCCCTCGCAGGAAGCCGCACCGGAAGCTGGGCCAGCAGGCCTGGCTGGTGGCCGCCATCACGGTCACGGAGCTGCTCATCGTGGTCAAGTACGACCCGCACACGCTCACGCTCTCCCTGCCCTTCTACATTGCCCAGTGCTGGACGCTCGGCTCCGTGCTGGTGCTCACCTGGACCGTCTGGCGCTTCTTCCTGCGGTGAGGGCTGCCCACCCCAGGGGGCGTGGGCGCACGGTCCTGGGGCTCTGCGCTCCCCGCCCCGCCCCGCCCGTGCGGGATGGGCTTGTGGCCTCCACGGGCAGCTGGGTGACGCGGCCCCGCCCCCCCCCCCCCCCCAGGGACATCACCCTGCGGTACAAGGAGACCCGGCGGCAGAGGCAGCAGGGCACCGGCGACCAGGGCGCGGCTGCGGACAGCGTGGACGGGCGCCCGCCTGGGCCCGCGGAGGCCACGAGGGCGGCAGCGCCAACTCTGCACTGACCTGCCGGGGGCCAGGCCTGCTGACCCTTCCCTTCTGGTTCCCGCCAGGAGCCTCTCCAGGCTTCCCTCTGCTCCCACACAGTGCCCGGCTCCAGAGGGGGTGTCTGGGAGGCCCCGGCCTGGCTGGGCCGGTGCACATGGGCACCGTGTGTGTGTGCGTGTGCATGTGCGTGTGCGTGTGTGAGAGAGAGTGCACATCGGTGCCCTGTGCTCCTGGCTCCGGAGGCCTCTCAGGCTGGCAGGTGTAGCTGGCGCCTGTCCTGGGGCAGTGTCTGCTCTCTGCGTGGTTGGCCCACGGGGCCTCTGGGCCACACCGAGCCTTGGCGCCCAGAGGGCCTGGCCCGTATCCCCACTGGCCCCTGCTCTGCCCCCGGCCACATGTGTTACTGGCGTGGTCCACCGACTCCCGAGAGGGCCGGGACGGGCGGCCCGGAGCTGCGGCCCTGAGCTGTCGTCTCGGGAACCTCCTGCCCACCCGGCCAGCCAGGAGGGGTGCGGGCAGAGGGGGCGGCCTCTGGGTGGGGCGTGGGTCAGAAACACGCAGGCCAGGTGCCCACAGTCGGAAGGAAGGGTCCTGGGGTCTCTGGCCGCAAGTTGGTGGTCATCTCCACAGGCAGTTGAAGCAAATAAACGGACAGTGGTCTGAAGCTCGCGTCTGTGCCGCCCGCACCCCTCCCTGCGCCGGCCACGCGAGGCGGGGGAGGCCCCAGGGGTGGGCGTCGAGGGTGGGGCAGCCCCCGCAGAGCACAGGGTCACCTGATCTGCTGGGTCGTGCCCCTGAGGGCCTGTGGGGGCAGGGCAGGGAACTGCTGTGCTTGGGAGGCAGCTGTCAATGGACCCTGAAAATTCACTCATGAGAAGCGCGAAGTCCCCGACCCACTCTGGCTGAGCAGGCCCCCCGACCCTGACTCACTGGGACGTGGGCGGAGGCCCACCTGCCTCCTGAAAGACCCTGACGTCTGGGGTGGCTGTTCCCTTAGGTTGGTTTCCCGTGGGCTGCTCTGGGAGCGGCGTCCGCGCCCCTCCCCCAGCCCGTGGCCTACAGGCCGGACCGAGGGCCTGCCTCGCTGAGCCCTGCTTTCCCGTGCCGCCCCATGGGGGGTCGGGGTTGGCTGTCCCGCCTGCCCTGGGCCTCCCTGCTTGCCCGTGCGCAGGCTTTGTTCCGTCAGCCCCGTGGGGGGGTTCAAGGTGTCCTGTGCCCCCCGCCCCCCGCAGTGCTCGCCCCTGAGGGGGAGCCGCCCTGCGGGATGGTGGTGATGATACCTTGCTCATAGCCACTCCTCCGGGTCCCAGCCTCCCTCCCTGTGTGTGTGGCCCCTTCACTGGGTTGCTGCTGGGCTCCTGGTCTCCGGACTGCGCCGGTCTGAGCCCTCCCAGGCTCACCGTGTGCAGATCGGCCCGGACCAGGGCCGCCTTCCTGCCGGGAGCCCTGCACCCTCGCGGCAGGGAGGGTCGGGGCCCCGGTCAGCAGCCAGGTCTTGGGCTGGAGCTGCTGCCCAGGTGCCGCTTCCAAGAGCAGCCGTGGGCCCTCCTGACGGCACCAGTGCAGGTGGGGGCACCGTGCTGGCCAGGCAGGGCCCAGATGGCGAGCGTGGCCCCAGCCCCTGCTCAGGTGCCGCAGGCTCCGTGGGTGGCTGTCCTCGCCCAGCAGCTTGGAGGCCCAGGGACAGCTCCCATGGGGGCTAGCAGGCCAGCTGCTGACTGGAGACACAAGACCGCTGGCCATGGCCAAGCCTGGCGTCGGAGGGCAGAGCGCGTCCCGGTGCCCCAGGGTGAGCAGGCCCCCTCGCGGCGGGGCTGCCGGGACCAGAGGGCCAGGTTCCTGGGGGCACAGCATGCCAGGGCCTGCGAGGCGCTAACTTGTTTCAAGCTGCCAAGTGTGGTAGTCTCTTGGGGACCCCACAAGGAAGGACAAGGACCCTTCTGCTTAAAAAGGACTTTAATAATTATAGTGTTCAAGATGTTCCCACAGAAGCTGATGTGAGCGTTATTCTTCACTAAAGCTAAGGCACTGGAAGACAGGGCCCCTGGGGGGCTGGCCCGGCCCCAGGGGGTCTCGGGGGGGGCCGGGGGGGGCTCAGCAGATGATCTTCAGGCTCGGCTTCTTCTCCGCCAGGGCCTGCAGGCGGTCCTCAGTCTCCTCCGTCCAGTAGGTGTCGTACAGGCTGTGCGGGAGCAGGGAGGGCGTGGGCTGGGGCACGGCCGGGGTCCCCCCTGCCGAGCATCCCCCCAGCCTGCCCGAGCCGGGCAGCCCCGGCCACAGCACCTGCTGCGCCACTTACACCAGCTTCTCCAGGGTGCAGCTGGGCCGCTGGGCGCTCTCCACCAGCTTCAGGACGCCCACCTCGCTCACGCAGTTGTTGCTGAGGTCCAGCTCCTGCAGGCTGCGGCTGGCCAGCAGGAGTGAGGCCAGGCTGCTGCAGCCCTCGTCGGTCACCTCGCAGTCCCCGAGCCTGGGTGGGTGGCAGGGCAGAGATCAAGACAAAGGGCTTGTCCCCTGGCTGCCGCTGACCGGCTGAGTGACCGGGACCTGTGCCACCACCAGAACACAGGCCGGGGGCCACACCCACTGCTGTGCCCCAAGCCCTGAAACACGTCTCCACACCCCCATCGAGACCCCGGCGTCAGAGCTGTCCCCACATCTGCCTCGGTGGCCCTGAACGGACTGGGCAGAGGCACAGAGCTCCCTGCGGTGAGCACAGCGCCCCCAGCTGGCCTGGGGCTGCAGGCACACCTGGACTTAGGGCTCCAACCAGCCATGACCAAGAGTGGGCCCCTGGTGGGTGGCCTTCCGGAAGGAGCGATGTTGGGCGGCAGGAGGAAGGCAGGAGGCGGGCCGCACACCCACCCCTGCCTCCGCACCAGCGGTGAGCGGGCCACGGAGCAGGACACGCAGGCTTCCCGGCTCCAGGCCGAGGCCATGGTCACCGGCCCGGCCCCGTTCCCACCACACAGGGCAACAGCAGTGCCCAGGGAGCCTCAGGGCCCTGCCCCGCGTGGCGGCCGAGCAGCACAGCCACGGGGCTCCCGGTGCGCCCCCGAGTCCGGGGGCCGGTGGTGCCCCAGGCAGAAAGCCGGGGGGGGGGTCTCCGTCAGCTCGTCCTGTAGGGCCCCCACCTGCTCCCCACCCGCAGAGGCCGGGTGTCCCAGGAAGGCCGCCCGTGGGGCCAGGCCAGGTCACAGAGAGCAAGGCCCGCACCCGTGGCAGCGGCGGCCGTGGGGGACAGAACAGAAAGCCGGAGGCTGGTGGCTCCTGAGCGCTCGTCGGACGGACGCGCCTGCCCGGGGCCTGGCCTGCCGTCTGCACAGCCACGGGTCGGGCACAGCGCGGACCAGTCCCCGCCGGCTCAGAGGAGAGCCACAGGACCCCCGAGCGGACAGCGGGGGCCTGTCCCTCCTGGAGGTAGAAGCCTGGCCCAGACCCGCCCCGTGGGTGGTGCCAACAGGGCAACCTGGAGGGACCTGCACGGCCAGGGCTCCTCCGCGGGGGGTCAGGACAGCGACGGGGGCGGGGGGGGGCCGAGCCGGGCGCTGCACCCACCCGGACGCACGCTCACCAGAGCACCCGCAGCGTCGTGCCGGGCTGGCCCAGGCCCCGGCACAGCTCCCCGACGCCAGCGTCGCCCAGCTGGTTGTTGCTCAGCTGCAGCTCCTGGAGGCTCCTGTTCTGGGCCAGCATCGCGCCAACGTGTGGGCAGCAGGCGGCCGTGAGGCTGCAGGACTTCACCCTGGGGGATGGGACAGCTGCGGCCCAGACCTCGGGCACCCCGGTCCCCTCCCAGCCCCGCCCACCAAGGAAATGGGACGCCTTTCTGCCTCCGTGGCCCCCAACCTGCCTGCCTCTCGCCCCCCGTGGAGCTGAGGGTCCTGGGCCGCAGCCCCTGTGCCGGCCCCCCGCCCCCCCCCCCGCGGGGCCCCCCGGCGTCCCCGCCCCGGCCCGGGCACTCACCACAGGGACTGCAGCCGGCAGCGGGGCTCCCGCAGGCTCTCGCACAGCAGCCGGGCACCCTCGTCCCGCAGCTCGTTGCCGGCCACGCTGAGCTCCCTCAGGCTCCCCTTGTCCCTGAGGACGCGGCAGAGGTCCCTGCAGCCGCCGGCCGTGATGTCGCACTCCCAGAGCCTGCGGGGCCGGGACGGTCACTGCAGGCCCAGCGCTGCCACGGCGTCGTGGGCGTTTCCCCTGTCTGGCCGGGACTGCGGCCTCGGCCCGACGTCATCGCTCACCGCGGGCTCCCCCGTCCCCGGCCGGCCCTGCACCCCCGCGGCCGCCTGCCGGCCGTCCAGCTCACCACAGGGTCTTGAGCTGGCAGCCGGGGCTCAGCAGCCCGGGGCAGAGCGCCGCGACGCCCGCGTCTCCCAGCCGGTTGTCGCCCAGCTCCAGGGTGCCCAGCTCGGCCTTGGTGGCCAGGAGGCCGCTCAGGTCCTGGCAGTTGGCGGAGGTGAGGCCGCAGCTCTCCAGCCTGGGGCACAGGGGGCGCGGTGAGAACCAGGTGACCCCGGCACCGCGCAGTCCTCCCGCCAGCCCGGCACTTACTTGAGCGCCTCCAGCGGGCAGGCGGAGTCCGCCAGGCCCTGGCACAGGACCCGGGCACCGGCCTCGCCGATGTCGTTGTTGCTCACCGCGAGCTCCCTCGTCTCCGGCCGGGCCCTGAGCACTGCGGCCAGGGGCTCGCAGCTGTCGGCTGTCAGGCCGCAGTACTGCAGCCTGCGGGCGGGCGGGCGGTCAGTCCGGCCCGGCGCATGCCCCTGCCCGCCCTGGGCTGAGGCCTGTGGACACTGTGCCAGGCTGTGACAGCACAGCCGGGGCCAAGGGCTGTCCCTGTGGAGCACAAGCCCCTGGACCCTCCTGGGGACCACCCATCGACCCAGGCTCCGGGGTCACGGGACCAGGAGCAAGACGCCCCGCCGCATCCCGCCAGCGCCAAGCGCTCTGCCCGTTTGTGGGGCCAGGCCACCATGCACGCGGTGCGGGGTCCCTGGCCAGCTGCCAGCCCCTTCGAGAGGGTCAGAGCCCCAGTCCCAGGGGAGCAGCATCTGCCCCCGAGAGCCCCCTCCTCAACCCTCCCTGCAGCCAGGCTGGGGGAGCGGCTTGCACAGCGCAGGCTGGAGTGGCGGCCGTGGGCGGGAGCGGGGGCACACTCACTGCAGCCTCTCAACGTGGCACTGGGGGTCCAGGAGCCCTTCGCAGAGAAGCCGCAGGCCTGCGTCGCCCAGCGGGTTGTAACTGAGGTCCAGCTCGCGCAGGGAAGGCGAGGCGCGCAGCACGCTGGCCAGGGCCCCGCCGCTGGCCTCGGTCAGGCAGCAGCTCTGGAGGCTGTCGGGGCCGCAAGCCACGGTCACGGGGAGGCCACGCCCTGCCGGGTTGCAGGGCTCTGGGGTCCCCAGGCCAACGGCCGGGGGAGGGGTGCACAGGAGGGGCTGCGAGAGGCCTGCAACATACCCCAGGGAGCGGGGCGCTCGGTCAAGGACGGGGCGCCCCGCGGCGCGGGGAGCCCCAGGCCCCGCACGTGTGGCTGGGTCGCCCGCAGGGGCTCACCTGAGCTTCTGGATCTTGCAGGTGGGGCTCTGCAGGCCCTGGAGCACCAGGGCGGTGCCCGCATCGCCCAGCTCGTTGGAGCAGAGGTTGAGCTCTGTCAGGGCAGGGTTGTCCTGGAGCGCGGAGCTCACGTCCCTGCAGCGCCCCTCTGTGATGCCGCAGTCGACCAGCCTGAGGACAGACGCGCGGGGGCGGGGGGCTGTCACCTGGCAGGTCGTGACCCCGTCAGTGGGCCAAGAACAGGGTGGTCACGACCACGACTTTTCAAATGAATGAAGCCAAGAAGTGAGTGGGTCGCCTCCTGACGCTTTGCTTGAGAGGCTGGCACGTGGCGGGTGTGTGTCGGGGCGCGGCCCGCGGTCAGGCTCCCCTCACCTCCGGGACGGACAGCAGCCCCTCAGACAGCACAGCCCGGGAGCGACGTGAGCAGCAAGACGCACACGGAACCAGAAACCAGAGCGCCCGCTCCCCAGACCAGGAGCGCCCGCCTGCCTTCGTGGGAGGTCGAATAAGCACGTGGCAGGGGGGTGGGGGGGTGACGACCAGCAAATGCACAAGGAGCGGAGAAATCGGAAACCCCCATCGGGGTCCTGGCCGGCGGGTCGTCAGCGGGGCCGTTGTCCGCGCACCAAAAGGTTGCGCGCGCGACCCCGGGCCCGGGCGCCGGCGGGAAGCGGGTGCGTCCCCGTCAGCACCCGCCGCAGGGGCTGCCCGTCAACGCCCCTCCCCGCCGCCCCGCGCCCCCGTCCGCGCGCGCTCCAAAATCAGTGAAACACGTGCTCAGGTGAGGGTTTCCATAGACTCCTGGTACGGCCAAGGCCCACTCGTGACGGCTCTGACAAGACCCACGGGGAAGCGCCAGGCAGAAGGCAACGCTGCGGACGTGGGTGAGAGCAGAGGGTCACGCGTGTCACCCGCGGTGTCTGCTGACTACGAAGGGGAAAGCGGGCGTTTTCACTTGTTTTTCTGGAATTTTAATTTACTTTTAGAGGGGAAGGGGCGAGAAAGAGGGAGGGAAACACCCCTGTGTGGTTGCCTCTCGCGCGCCCCCTGCTGGGGACCTGGCCCACAGCCCAGGCCTGTGCCCTGACTGGGAATCGAACCAGCGACCCCTACGGTTTGCCAGCCGGCACTGGATCCTACTGAGCCGCGCCAGCCTGGGCAATTTTTTTTTTTTTAAATAATTTCTTTGTTTAGTCATTATGGTAAAAATCCTCTTCTGGGTTGCAGACTGCCACCTTCCTGTTGTGTCCTTACATAGTAAAGGAACAGTGGCTTTAGAGTAGAAAACCAGCAGACACCACCTGAACAGGTGGTCACAGGGACAATCAGGGACCACCATGTAGTGCCATTGCGACCCTACACCGAACAGGACAATACACCAGGCAGGACGGAACCTCATTTCTGTATATTCTTGCCAAAGGTGTGTGACTCAGCCACGACAAGACATCTCCGGGACTCTCTCCAGAGCTGAGCTGAGCAGGATGCGGACACAAGAACAAGGGGGGACAGAGGGACCATCCCAGACAGGCGGGGCCCAATGCCACGTGGGACCCTGCAGCGACCGGGACGGGAAAGGACCCGAGGGGAAGCTGGCGACGTCTGTGTCGAGGCGGCTGTCGGCCCCCTCGTTTGGCCCCCGCCCCAGGTAATGGGTGCGATTTTGGGCCCCCATCCCAGGGCGGAACCCCCCGCGCGGGCGGAGGGCGCTGACGGCCCAGGGACGCCGGCTCCGGGCGCAAAGGGCGCCCCCACCCATGGTCGTGGCCTTTCTGTGAACCTCGGTCCTTCCCACGGCAGTTCAAACGGCAGGAGGCAGGCACCGCGGGTGCTGTGCAGCCCGCGGGGACGGCCGGGCTGGAGGACCTCAGCAACAGGCGCGGCCAGGACTGGCCCGGCCGTACTTCCAGGAAGCAGACGCGGGGACTGTCCCCAAGGCAGGAGCCAGACAGAGGCCCCAGCCAGCGGCTCCACCCGCCAGGTCCCGCCCATGGGCAGGAGCCAGGAATGGGTTTACATTTTTGAACCAGAAAAATAAAAAGGTAAAGAACATCTCACTCCATGCGAAAACCACACAGGTTAGGACGCTGTGTGTCCATCAGGAAGGTACTTTGGAGCCCACGGCGCCCACAGCCACGCAGCCGGCTGCCGCCCCGCCGGACCCGACACCTACCTGACCACCTGGCACTGCTGCATCTGAGGCAGGAGCTCCGTCCACTGGGTGTCGCTGAGCTGCTCATAGTGCAGGTCGAGACTCATGGCCAGAGGGGAGTGTGCGCTGGGTGGAAGGCAGGGGAGGGGGAGGACGTCTTAGCCCCGTTCTCTCCAGGGTTCGCAGGCCGGAGGCCCCGCAGTCGCTGCCACCGCCTCTGCCCCGGCCGGTGCTGCTGTTTCTTCAGCACCTGCCCCCACCTCAGCCCCAAGGAACAAAAAAGGGGGAGGGCAGAGGGAGGCTGTGCCCGCTGGCTGCCCTGGCCAAGGCCACCACGGGCCACGGCCTGTGGCCAGGGCAGCAGTCACCGCGCAGCCTCGGGGGCGCCCCCTGCCGGGGGGAGGGCGGGGCCTGGGCTTGTGCCTGGCACGGGCAGGTCGGGAGGGGGCAGCCTGTGCACCTGGCAGTCCACGCGGTGCTCCACGTGGTCCACCCTGCCTGCCTGCTCAGCCAGCTTTCCCTCTGAGAGCAAGAGGGATGTGCGGGCCCGGTCACTCTCAGAGCCAGAGATGCCCCCCCACCCCAAGACGTGAGGAGCCCAGGCCCCACTGCCCTGAGGCAGCTGCGTGGGAGGGAGGGGTGCCTGTAGTCAGGTGACAGCTGTCGCTGGAGCACCGGCCACGGGTGCCCAGGACAGGGCCCAGCCGGTGGGGTGCAGACCGCCAGCCAGCTTCTGCGACCCTTTCTGGGGGCCGGGGACTCGGACGGGCTGGGGCACAGCGGTGCCCACCCCCGCATCAGCCCGTGGGGAGGCCGGTTGCCAGGCAGGCTGGGAGACAGGCGAGGCCTCTGGCAGCAAGCCCGGGGTGGAAGCCACAGATCACAGTCCCTGACACCTCAGCGGGGACCAGCCACAACCCGAACGGAGGAGGAGCCCGAGGCCCTGCAGGGGCGTCCGCCTCGCAGCAGAGGTGGGCAGGGGGCAGTGCCTGGGTGCCTGGGTCTGTTCGGCAGCGACAGAAGGCCCCAGGAATGATGCAACTTGAGCTGCCCTTTGAAACGATCCTGCCACACAGAGTGACTCATGCTCACGTGTGGCTCCGGTTCCCCAAAACCCTGAGAACTCAGCCTCATTCAAAAGCCCCGCCCGGCGGCCTCGGCACTGCGCCCCACGGAGCTTGCACCGGAGCCTGGCACTGGCCGCCGGGCTGGTGGAGGCCAGCCCCGCCCCCCGCCGCGTCCTGCCCCGGCCCGCGGCTGGTCCAGAGGCCGGGCAGGCGAAGAAGGCTCCAGTCCCGCTCCTGTGGACGGACAACCAGCAGGCGAGGGTCATGTGCGCAGGCCCCAGCGCGCGGGCTGCTGAGAGGGGCGAGGGTGGCTGTGACTGGCCCTGTCATCCAGCTGCCACACGGAGCAGCCAAGAGTCCACCAGCCTCAGGGGCAGCCCCGAGCCCACCACCCAACCCTGGGGCCCAGGGTGCGGTCGGCCGAGCCCTGACTCAGAATCCGCCACCGGGACTGGCGGGAGGGGGGAGGCCCCGGCTGCCGCCTCCCACCCCGGCTGCCCGGGGGGACCCACTGGGCCCCCAGCCGCAGGGCCGCTGCCCCCGGCCGCACGCTCTCCGGGCAGCCCGTGCGAGTCCAGGTAGCGCTGCGCACCCACGGTAGCCTGAGCTTAAGAACAGAGGCTGGGGCGCCCGTCGGCAGAGGACCCCCCGGGCTTACCAGTCATGGGAATCTCCCCTCTGTGGGGCCTTTGGACCCCTTGAGAACCCCGCGAAAACGCCTGACATACCCCCGAGAAGCCCCCCCAGTCCCGGACCTGACCTAGGACGGTACCAGCACATTTCAAGCGCCCCAGCTGGGCCGCTCCCGGGGATCCCAAGCGCGGGGTTCAGGAGCAGAGCAGCGCCCGAATCAGTGGTTTCAAGTGCGACTACAGGCCGCCCAGCGGGACCTGTGCCAGGGCAGGCGCTGGGCTTGGGCCTCGGCTGGGGCGGCGCCCACGGGTGGCATCAGCTGGGGCGGGCGGGGCCCGGGCCCACCGAACCCCGAGCCGGCGTCCCCGGGCCTTAGGCGCCCTCCGCCCGCACGGGTGGTTCCGCACCGGGATCTGCGCGGTCCCTCCTGGAGGACAGGCCTCGCTCCAACGGCGCGCCCGCAAGGATGCCGGCGCCCGGCCGCGCCCTTCTCGGGCCGCAGGAAACGCCCACGGGGGTCGCCCGAGCTCGCTCACCCGGCATGGGGCGCCGCGAAAGGTCCCTCCGAACCCAGCCGGCCTGGCGCAACCTCGACACGCTCAACTCGGACCTCACCTTGCGCTGCCGCCGCCTGGAGCTGGACACTGCTTCCGCCGGGACTCGGGATGGGGGCGGGGCCTGCGGTCGCGGGGCGGGGCGGGGCCAGGACCCGGGGGCGGGGCGCCAAGGCCTCCGCAGGCCCGCCTCCTCGCGCAGCTGGGTGGAGCGCAGAGCGGAAGCCTAGCGCTGCCGACGCCTCTCGGCTGTTACTGGCGGTGGGCGGGGGATGGCTCGGGCGACGCGCCCGCTCGTTCCCGCCCACCCACCGTCAGGGGCCTCCACGAGCTGAGGCGACGCGTCCCAAGGGTGTGTGTGCAGCCTTTGGGCCCGGCGGGGGACGGCGCTCGGGGTGCGCTGGTGAGGCTTTTGAGCACGGTGTGCGGAAACCTCCGAGGGGCGCCACAGCCGCGGTGTCCCCGCCCAACCCGCCCACTTGCGGGGACAGGGGTGCCCCGTGGGCACCCATGGCTCAGGCCGTCAGCAATTCAGCCGGGTAGGGGGCACCGACCGCGTGCCGGCCGCTGTCCCCGGCCACGTCGGTGAACAGAGCGGGGCCAAGTTCCGAGCCCAGGCCCGGACGCGGATGAAGTTTAGAAGTAAACGGACAGTATCCAGATGGCGGAACATGCCCGGGGAAATACCGCGGGGGCAGAGGAATCAGCAGCAGCGGGGCGGGCCCAGGGAGGTCCCGGGGCAGCGGCGGCCGGGCCCGCAAAGCCGGCTCACGAAGGTGGAGAAGGCTCACCGCACACCCGGCCTCACGCTCGTGGCCGCCAGGGGGCGGCACAGTGTGCACGGGGGCGAGAGCCCCGGGCTGCCTGGGTGGTCCGACCTTTGGGGGAGGGGGGGGATAAAGTGAAGTGTTACTTAGTTTGAGTATTTGGCTGCGCCCGTCCTTGGTTGTGTAGCAGGGGGGTCGGGGCCGCCAGTGTGGGGACCGGGCTCCTGGAAAGCCCAGGGCTATGCAGGGGCAGACCACCAAGTCCCGGACGCCGGTAAGCCGCCTCGGAGCAGGTGCACGTCGCCACCTTGACAAGCGTCAAGGGAAGATGGAGCAGGACAGTGAGAGAGGAGCTGGGTTTCGGGCAGAGGCGCTTCTGGGGGCCCGGGCAGGCGCTCCAACCAGATTTAACGCGATGTTTTGTGCCCTGAGCAGTATGTGCCCTTGTAGAAAACCAGAGGCAAGAAGATGGCAACCCTGGGGCGCCCGGCGCCCGTGCACGCGGCCCCGCCCCTTCTATCTGCCACGCGCGCACACGCTGTGAAGTGAAGCCCAGACGTGAGGCATGGCCGGCCGAATAAAGGCCCCCAAAGGTGCCCGAGTCCCAGTCCCCAAACCTGTCCACAGCTCCCTTACAGGGTCTCTGTGGCTGAATTACGGCTGTCCGCTCAGGGAGACTGTCCTGGACCACCGGGGTGGGCCCAATGTCGTCGTGAGGGTCCTTAGGGGAGGGCAGCAGAAGCCAAAGGCAAAGAGGATGTGATGGCAGAAGCAGAAGTTGGAGCAGCTGGCTTTGAAGGCGCGGGAAGGCGGCCTCCAGAGGCCGGAAGAGGCCAAGAAGCAGGTCCTCCCGGAGCCCCCGGAAGGAGCCAGCCCTGTGGACCCTTTGACTTGAGCCCCTGCAGCCCACTTCAGACCCCTGACCTCCAGGGCTGCGAAGTCACAAGTCGAAGGTAGTTTGCTGCAGCAGCAGCAGCAGAAAACCGACGCCTTACGCAACTGCTGTGATGTTTTTTCACTTAATCGGTATGTATCCGTGAATATATACATACATGAATCGGTACAAGGGGGGGACCACAAAAACCCGGAATTATCTTCCAGAGGGCGGGCCCCTTGTAGTCCGGGCTTCCCCCGTGAGGTGAGTGTTCCACGAACCCATCTGGATCAGGGCACCAGCTGGCGCTGTTGTGAGAGGCTGTGTTTGGCTTCAGTGATTTTTTTTTTTAACTCTTTAAAGGTGTTTGCCCAATTCACGATGCGCACCTGCCCACCCCGCGCTCAATGCTCAGCAGTTTTTGACCAAAAACAGCATGACTCCCTTGCCCCACGCTTCCTATTCACCCCATCTCTTCCCAACCATACTTTTTGTTTCCCTAGAGGGAAAAAAATCTACAAAAGGAAACGTTTTGCCCATGTGGAAGAGGTAAAACAAAAAAAAGCAGAAGCACTAAAAGGCGTCAGAACCGATGCGTGCGAACACTGTTCTGAGCTGTGGGACAGACATCTCGATGGGTGTATCGCGTCAAACGGACAGGACTTTGAAGGCGACTGAAGCGAAACACGTAAGAACACATACACAATTTTTTAATAAACATATTGTTTTTTTTTGGGGGGGGGTCCACCCTCGTATGTATACAACCTAACTTTTAAAGGCCACAGATGTGTGCCACTGTCGGATCAGCTTGCTCAGCCAATCTCTGCAGGCTGACATTTCAGGCTTTAACGGCATATTCTGAAATGCACTGTCTCCCTGCTGCCTCTTGTGGACAAAAGAGGGGCCGCACAGTAAACCCCACGAGCCCGAGGGCGGCAGGGCCTGGGAGTAACCGCCCAGGAGGGCGCCGGCACAGGGACTCCTCACTAACGGGGGTCACGGTCTAGGCCTGCAGCCTCCCGGGCGGAAGTCCTTCTCCCCCTCCCGCGAGCCTGCCCACTGTCTCTGTGCACCTTCGATAACCCACCTTGGAAACGGCGTAATCCCCTTTCCAGACCCCACGGTCCCAGGACCCCTCGTGTTGCCCGGCACCCTACACACCACTCCGTGCGCTATAAATGTTGGTGAACTAACCAGCACCCACCAACATAAAAGAAGCTGCTGTCTCTCTGGGTTACTCTTGCCCTAGTCCGAGAGATTTCCTCACTTTGCTGTCTCCCGCCCCCTTAATCTACCGCGGGTGAGTTTCACGTAACCCCCTTATGCCTCCTTCTTTTATTCTAATTTGCCACATAAACTGCAACACTGCCATTCTCCGGAGCGTGTGCTTAATCCACTGAGATTCTACGCCCCGGCACTTGCCAGTTTGGCTCTGATAAACGCACAGATTCCCTACAGGTTCGGCCATTTCTTACCTGGACACCATCCTAGAGCGGGGCCTGCCTGGCTCTAAGGTCCTTCCAAGACACTGCTGAACTGCCGTCCTGGAAAGCGGCAGAAGTCCACCAGCTTTCCCCGCTCCCGCGTGCCTGCACACCTGCGCGGGCACCTTGGCTGGAGCCCGCCCGATAATGCAAAGTGTGGGTCCAGTGTTCACATTTCTCCAATCCTTGTGACCCTCCTGGCCCGCGGCCCCTCGAGGTGCTGTCCCAGTTGCGTCTTCTCTCCCCCACCTCAGTCGCCGACCCAGCGCCCCCCGGGTTCTCACGTGATCGAAGAGGGCAGAGTGGCCGCGCGGGCACATGGCCTGTGGGAGCGACCTGGGGGAGGTCCTATGCCCTCTGCCACGGCTGTCCTCCCAGGGGGCGGGTTCCTTTGGGAATAAGGTCGAGGATTACTCAATCTGGGGGAGAAAATCCGGCGAAGCTAGCCTTAGCGTGTGCAGCTGGCGAACCGCCCGCGAACCAGGGGCTCGGGCCAGCGGATACCGCGAGGGCGATAGGACCCTTTCGCCGAGAAGCGCCCCGCGCAGGCGCAGCGCCGCTGCGCTCCAACTCCCAGCGAGATCCCTGGAGGGCCGCCGCGCACGCGCAGGGACGCATCCGGCGCTCTGACGGCCGCGGGGCGCGCTGACGTGCGCCCGCCTCGCCCGCCCCGCCCCCGAGCACGACCGCTGTAGCGCCCGGGGAGCGTCCGCAGGCGGCCCGACCAGGGCCCGCGCCGGTAAGGGCCGACCCCGGGCCGGCCATCTGACTGGCCCACGTATTGTCGGAAGGCGGGAGAGACTGACATAGACGAAAGCGGACGGTCCCTATCCTGTCACTGGGAAGTAGCAGCACACTCCCGACAGGGGACAGGAAGGTCCTAGCGGGACGGGGCTTCACCGCGCGGTCCAGACCCGCGGTGGGAATGTCTGGAGGGGCTACCGGGGCCTAGTGGGCGGGGCGGGCCCGCGGTGGGGCGTGACCAAGCCGAGGGGCGGGCCTCTGGGCCTGCGTTAGGGCGGGGCCGAGCCGAGGGGCGGGGCCCGTGGCGGTGTGGGGCCGGCGCCAGCTCTCCCCCGCTACCCAAAGGGCCGGGCTGGGACCTGGAACCGATGTAGAGTCCCGCGCGTGCGTGGGCGGGCCTCGGACATCCGACGAGGTGAGAACGCGGCCTGGAGCTCGTCTCTCGGGCCGGGCCGGGACAAGAGAGTGGCGGGCAGGCCTGAATTCGGTGTCTTGGAGCGGAGCCTGAGTCTGGGTCTGGAGATTCTGCGCGACAGCCCTCTGCCGAGCCCTGGCCGCGCGTGGAGCGGGCCGCAAACGGACGTGGGTAGACTGGTGGATGGATAGACACAAAAGGAGGCGTCAACGTTATTCAAGGCAGCGCTTGTGATCCGGGGGTGTCGGTGGACGCTCATAGCGGTGCCCCGCGCTGCCATAGGTGCTGAGGATTCAACCTGGATTGAAACGGACGGGTCCGGAGAACCGAGGATGCCCTTAGGGTCGGTTCCCTGGCGAGGGCGTCTGCCAGTTTTTGTTTCTCGGAAAATGCCTGCGTGTGCCCCGAGTTTGCAGTTTCCGCTGGGAACAGAATGACAGGTTTGCAGCCATTTCTCAGCGCCCCGAGGTCGGCATTCCCTGTCGTCTGGCGCCCGCACTTTCTTTTGCTCTGTTGTTGCTCCCATGAGGACGGCGAGTCTTCCCGGGGGCTTCACAGGGTGGGCGAGAGTAGCTCCCAGCTGTGAGTATGTGAAACACAGGGGTTTATTCCTCTGTTTTTATGTGCTAGTCATTGCATTATGTTCCATACAAACCACTGTAAACCTGCTTTTGCGGCACCGTGTGCTTTCAGGCAGCAGTTGTACTGCCCAGCAGTGCCCCCCACCCCCTGCCACAGCCCGGCGCCCCGTATTACTTCCATGCTTTCAGGCAGGGGCCAGGACCACTAAATGGATAATTCCAAAAGCAAACACTGCATAAGGGTTTTTTAAATTATGGTTTTATTTCATTTACTTATTTTCAGAGAGAAGGGAAGGGAGGGAGAATGAGAGGGAGAGACATATCCCTGTGGGGGTGCGGATCGCCTGCCCCCTGCTGGGGACCTGGCCGGCAGCCCAGGCCCGCGCCCCGCCTGGGGGTCGCACCGGCGGTGACCATCTCCTCCGCAGGCTGGCGCTCAGTCCCCTGAGCCATGCCCGCCGGCGGCGGCAGTTTGCACGGTTTAAATTGCACGCCGCTCTAAGACGTGCGAGGCGACCTCTTGCCCTTCCGCGCCGTCCCTCCCGGGACGCGGCGCGAATCACGCCTTTGTCTAGCGTGTCCACCCTGGAAACGCGGCCTGCCCATCGGTCGCTTCGTGGCCACCTCCGCGGTCGGCTCGGCGGTCGCGGTGTCATTGCATGTAAGTCGCCCTACTTTGGCTTGATGGTGGTCCAAAGCGCAAGGCTAGTGATGCTGGAAGTTCGGGTGTGCCAAAGAGGAGCTGTAAAGCGCTTCCTTGACACGGAAAGGCAAACGCAGCGCAAGACACTTAGGGAGAGAGAAGCCATGCTCGCAGAGGCTTATATTACAGTGTGTCGTGGTGACCGCTCTACTCTGCTGTCAGCTACGGTTATCGATCTCTTACTGTGTCTAATTCATAACCTACGCTCCATCACAGGTTTGTGCGTGTAGGAAAAGCATCGTCTGTGTCGGGTCCTGAGCCGCCCGGGACTTCAGGCCCCGCTGGGCGTGGGGGCGCAGCCCCCGTGGCCGAGGGGCGACAGCTGTGCCGGGCCTGGGTGCGTCTCTCCTTGTGGTTATCGCCCCGGGTGCCCACAGGCTGCTGGAACACGGCGCTTGATGTCGCTTTTCAGTTTGGGGAAATTCTTAGTTCTCCTTTCTTGAGATATTTTGGATGCTCATTCTCATGCAGCCCTTCATCGAGAATTCCAGTTAAAAATGGGCTCGCTCAGCCCCAGCTGGTGTGGCTCAGGGAATTGAGCAGCGGCCTGCGAACCGAAGGGTGGCCGGTTCGATCCTCAATCAGGGCACAGGCCTGGGTTGTGGGCCAGGTCCCCAGCAGGGGGCGCGCGAGAGGCAACCGCACATGAATGTGTCTCTCTTTCTCCCTCCCTTCCCCCTCTCTATAAATAAATAAATAAATAAAAATCTTTTTTAAAAAAAAGGCTCGACCAGCCCTGGCCGGTGTAACTGGATGTGTGACTCAGTTGGGCTTTGTCCCAGGTCTCAGGTTTGATTCCCTGCTGCCTGGGTTGTGGGTTTAGTCAGACAACGAATTGATGTCTGTCTCCCTCTCTTTCTCCCTCCCTCCCTCTTTCTCTAAAATCAATAAGCATGTCCTCAGGTAAGGATAAAACACACGCACGCACCCACGCACGCACACACATATTTTGGTTTTTCACTGTATCCTGCACGTTTCTTACATTTGTGCTGGAGCTCCCAGCCTTTTGGCTGTTTCATTCTGGGCGATGTCTCTCGAGTGGCCGTCCAGGTGGCCAGCTCTCTCTTCACCGCTGTGCCAGCCACGGTCAAGGCCCCCCACTCAGTTCTGAAGTGTAGTTATTCTATTTTTATTTTTTAGCGTTTTCGTTGCTTTGCTTTTGTTTTCAGACCTCCCCTGCCCACATGTGTCGCTCTTGTCTCGTGGCCCCCGGCGTGCACTAAGTGTGGTTATCTTAACGTCCTTGCCTGGCAGCTCCCCTGTCTGCGCCCCTTTGGGGTCTCTTCCACCGCACCGTGTGTCCGGGCACGGCTGGTTACCTGCGACGGAGGGCAGCACGTTCACGTTTAAGGCGTCGCGGCGCACGGGGTGAGGGGCGGTGCACAGGGCGACGGTCGCTGCTGCCACGCAGGCCCCGGCTGAGGCCAGCCAGCGACCGTCGAGCGCCCGCGTCCTGCCGAGCGGCTGGGGTCGCTCGAAGTCCAGCTTCATTTCTGACCGGGCTGGTCTCCTCCCCGCTCACTCTGGCACTGGGTGGCGCTCTTCCCGGGTCCAGCCCTGCAGGGTTTGCAGGGCCGCCCTCCTCGCACAGGCCCCGAAACGCACTCCTTCCGCACGGCCCTGGGACCCTAGAAAGGCGGGCTCAGCCCCCCAGCCCCGCCGCTGCTGCCGTCCAAGCCTGCAGGTGCGCCTCAGGCCGAGCCCTCTTCCTCGGCCGGGGAGCAGTTGTCTTAATGCTGTGCTCCGCCTTCTGCTCTCAGAAAGCAGGACCACCCCCCTCTTTTCAAGACTTGGAAGTGCACCCTGAACCAAGGTTTGCACTCCCAGCCCTGGGGAAGCTCAGCAACAGGTGTTTCTAAGAACTAGACGTGACCCACGGTGTTTCCGTCCCACGGTGTCTTTGCCTGTGGGAGTTGCCGCGTGGCATTAGCAGCCCGGGTGGACCGGGCCCCGGGCTGACGTCTGCCCGGGCCTCGCCCTCTTGTTCAGGACACAGGACGTGCTGGAGCTGTTGATGGCGCCGATGTGCAGGAAACATCGCCCCGGTTTGCTCTTCTAGCTAAAACCAGGTCTGCTCCGAGCTGCCCCCCACTGGGTGTCACGCGCACAGTCACCCCGCTCTGCTCGCAGGGGCAGTGTGGCTGTCACGGGGGCTGGAGGGGGGCCTCTGGGGCCACGTGGGGGTCATGACAGCTCCCCAGCTCGGCGCTGGGGCGAGAAGGCCAGGGCGACGGAGGCAGAGCCGGGCGCGGCCCGGCCCCAGCTCACCTTGGCGGCATTCGGGGGTGGGGGTGGTGCCTCCGTGATGGCAGGGAGCCTTCTGGGGGGGGGGGCGGGGGGGCAGGAAAATGGGGTGAGTTCGGGGGAAGATGACGAACTGGCTAAACGGACCCGCTCGCTGCGGATCTGAGCAGGAGGCGATGCAGAGGTGTGGCCGTGGACAGCGGTGGGTGCAGGGGGCTCTGCGAGGCCTCTTGTTCTCCGCTCCCAGGGATCGGATCCCTGGGGTGTGGCTGCACCCACAGAGGGCCCACCCAGTGGGTGCCCTCTGGCTCCCGTGCCTTCCTTCCACTCCGCACTTCCGCCCGTGGGCGCCTGTGCAGCCTGCCGACCACCCCCCTCCCGCCCCGCCGTCAAGGGCCAGCCCACCCAGGCCCTGGCGACCTCCACAGGGTGTGGGGGCAGCACCGGCCCGGAGCCCGGTTTGTTTGTTAATTCCACGTTTGGAGAACAGTGTAGGTCCTCCTGACGCTGTGAGCGAGGCCCCTGCGCCTCCGCCGTGGCCTTGCCCACCCCGGCGGCCGGGAGTGCACAGCGGGCATTCCGACCAGCCCTCGGAGCCCGGAGCCGCCGCCCACACGTCCACCCCCACGGCCGCCCCCCGCGGGCCGAGCGCGCCCAGGAGCCCAGGGCACGAGCAGGAGCCCGGCGCGTCCGCCCCCCCACTGTGCCTGTCTGCAACGCAGGCGCAAGGGCCAGCTGGCACGTGCTTTTGACTTGGGGCCTGTCCAGGACAGCTGCCCGTCTGTCCGGACTGGTGTGGCTCAGCGGGTTCGGCCTCGTTCCTCAAAGCGGAAGCTCACGGGTTCGATTCCCAGTCGGGGCACGAGCCTGGGT